TTATCCATAGTTACCTGACCTGGCTGACAGGTGGGTGCGGTGTAATGGATTGTCGTGCTTCTTATAAACCCGCCTCAGCTCCAGCTCTCAGCCTGTCGTTAGGTCGACTAAAAGTTAGGGTGAGACAGGATTTCCAGCATGGCGACTGCCTCTGAAGAGCCTCCAGAACCCCCTGCAGTAACAGATGACATCACTCAGGCTTTGTCCATTAATATTTAGAGTCTATGGTAATGACATGGGGGAAAGGAGCCAAAGGTTGGACTTGAACCTGGGCCGCCTGCTTGGAGGACTAAAGCCTTGAACGTGAGGCACAACCTAACCGCTAGGACATCTGCGCCCCAGAATGAGTCTTTAACCACAGGCTAATGTAGTCTGGGACTTTGTATACCGAATGTCAGCACCAACACATTTTTGTAAATCCAGGGTGTTGCAAAGATGTATGATTTGCTCTACAGACATTGTTTTTAAATATAATCCAGGCAGCAATTATACTTTATCATTTCAGCATCATTAGGAAAGCTGTACATATAGAAACATCATTTCTAGTAGACCGGGTTTTTCACCTCGATAGCTCATCTTAGCATTCAGACTTATAACAGTGGGATAAAAAAGCCCACTTGTGATTTCCACATGTTGATTTCACCCTTTAGTTTCAGTGCAGATCAAACAAACACACTTTTACTTTAATTACTGAGCTTTAGATACTGTGTAATCTTTGGATTGAGCCAAGAAAGAAAGTTGTAGCCTTCTGGCTACATTTTGCAAATTAAGTGGTATTGATCTTCTTATCTTTAACTCCCAGAAACAAATAAGCTGGATCCCCACATGTCTCACTATTTCTTGTCTAGTGAAACCTGTCTGTCAGACCTATAAAGTCCGCCATTAAACCCCAGAACCTGCTGATTTACGTTGATATTAAACCTGTATTGCACAATTCTCTACAAGATGAGTTTTAATCAGTATAAATCAAGAAGTATTGTTTTGTTCCTGGAGACAGAACAGGCCAAACTTTCACCTAATCAAGTTTCTTCTCACCATCCTGAACACTGAGCTGCTTGCTGACGTGCAGCGCGGCATTCCAGGCAAGCTGAGACACGACCGTGTTTGTTCCCCGTCTGAGGGAAGCAGTTAAACTGGGTGGATGCAAGGAAATGGGTCACATATATACAACACTGTAACGTAATACTTCAAAAAATATCTAAAAAATCATGTTTAACTCATGTCATCTCCTGGCAGGTATCCTGAGGCAGAGATAACAGCACTTCTTCTTTTTTTAACATAGTATACATTTTCGTTATTTGTTCTCAGAGGAACTTCATGAAAGTAAGAACGCTCCCATGATGAGGGGATTTTCACAGTCAGTTCTGAAAATCACTACATGAGTTGGTTTCACTTAAAAGTTCAGTTTGTTTCTGTTGCATTCTCCATCAGCAGCTTCATTCAAACAGGGAATAAATCCTCTAAACAAGACGCCTAAAGAAAAATCCCTTTGAATGAAAGGCAAAGACGGAATCAGCAAACATAAAAAGGGATTAATACGCTGCTTATTTCCATATAATGTGGGTTTTGAAAGCTTTGCATGTGTTTATAACTGATATATTTTCAATTAAAGTAGAGACAGACAGACAGAAATCATCTCAACTTGAGAAAGAACTCAGAGAAAGAAAAAGGTTGAGGTTTGGATTTAAATTATTACAATTGAAACAGGTTAATGCTGCAATTTATTTATCAGGGTTTCTGTGTTGTTATGTTTACATGCATCCTCCTGTCATTGTGGACATAAATTTGCATAAGTACAACCAAAACAGATTTCTGCATGTTGCACCCAGTGATCACAGTGATTCAGATTGGGATGTTTGTGCAAATAAAAAGTTTTCTGCGTGGGGAGGAGAGGGTTTGGTTGTGAGTGAAAAAGGGGCCAGATTATAGGGTGTGGACTGGCTCCCAGGCAGGAAAAAAGAGGGTGCGGTTTAAACTCATCCCTGCATCCCCATTGGTGGACATCGGGGACAAAAAAGCCTGTACCTGGTGCAGGTAAACAGACTGACATCAGGCACGGCAGGGGTGGGGATCAGTGGATCGGCTGGAGGGATTTATTGCAACCTTTCGACTTAATTTAAACGAACAACTCTGGACAAGATGACAGCGCTTTTATTTTGCTTTTTTTTACAAGAGGTTTGTGTTGTCAAACTTTATTTAACTATGGACAAAAACAGAGAAGTTGGTGTATGTAAGTTTATTTCTTTGGTAGATGTTTTTATTGTGATTTATTTTATGTTAGGTTGCATTTCACACATTTGTTCCTGGTCCAGGTGTTGCAGGTTGAACAGATGACAACAGTTTACATCTATCAGTGATTGCAACTTCATTTGTTGTTGCTGCAGAATTGGGTCTTTAAGGATGGAAATGTAAGAGCTTAAAGTGTTTGCTGATATGAGAGTGAGGTAGTAATGGAGGGTTGTATTTGTGTGGGTTTGGTCTCTACTTGTTTGCAGCATAACCCTACATTCAAAAGACTCCAGAAGGATGAAAACAAGCAGAGAAAGCGTGTCCTGTCTTGTGCAGGGAGAGGCCTGCCTGGCACACCCTCAACATGCAACCACATTAAATGAGACAAGAACATACAAATAGAACCAGTTTTTTCAGTTCCTTTTAACTAATCTGCCGCTTCTTTCCCCGAACAGAAAAACAAGGAGTGACGCCGTGAAGACAATCGGAAGGAATCAGCGACGTCAACCACTTTTTCTGCAGTGAGGAGACGCAGACAACTCTCCCCTTCTCTATTGAACCCCGTCTATGTTTTCTATCCTTCATTCCACCGGAGTCTGTGTAGAGTGCTAATCAGATTTCAGTGGGGTGAAGAGTAAAACACATGGAGTTTATCATCTGCAGAGAGCTTTCCGATGCAAAACGTCACATTTTTAAAAAGTATTTCATTGACTGCAACATTTACAATAAAGATGAAGGTTGCTCTTTTTATTGTACTGACTTTTATATCCTTTCATGTCAACCTCATTTTTGAAAGCAACAGTTCTGCACAAGCACAGAAAGACGCCTCCTCCTCCTCCTTATCTATCTCACCTGCATTGCGACAGCAGTTGAATATAGCGCAGGACTGATTGCTCTTTAGAGTTATTGCAGGATCACAAAGTGCTGGCAGCCCCACTTTATGTCTTTTGGGCTGTCACTCACTGATGCTGTTATGTCCTCACCCCTGTCTCTTTGCCCTTGCTTCCCCCAAAGACATGGCAATTACATAATGACTCCGAAATTCTCAAATTGCCACAGCCAAAGAGAACTACTCTGGGCTTGTGCCAGACATTGCTTTTGTGTCCCCAAAGTCTCATTTTTTTTATAACTGCACCCAAAAGAGCTTGGGAATACATTGTCACAGACGTATTAAGTGATTAATCGCTGAGTAATGAACATCTTTTTCATCTTCTGTCCCTCTAAAGAATATAGTTTTCCCATCAGGTTTTTAAACCCAATCCTCCGTTGGACGATTAACCTGCCTCATTAGCACGGGGCGATTCCCTCATTCTATTCAAAGCCTTAATTATGGCTAAATGGGCAGCTGGAAGTCATTCGACAGCTACATTGAGCCCTGAGTCACCCCGCTATAATTCTTCCACCCAATTAAAACTGAGGGAACTTAACGGATAAACAAACAAAGCGGCAAAGTGCCAGATCAGCACAGATTCAAACAGACCTGCATTGACTAACTCAGACAGTTTTCTCACTTAATTAAAGTCTTTTCAGGCAGCGATGAAAAGGTAAAGCTGATAAATCTTCATCAGTTATGTCAAAACATTTTTGAAAATTATCATGGACAAGATAGCTTAAAAAATGACAATTGAAAAAGGATGAACAGAAGACTTCACACTCACTTACATCTCCACAGAGGGAAACAAAACTCCCTTCTGCCACAATTTAAGAAACATCAAGAAGTGTCAATACACACTTTTTAAAATTAAAATAAATGTAGAGATACATGTGCACACACGGCTCACATGAGTAAGAAGGTTCATGAGCAAGACAATAAGACTCTCCCTGTGCAAATAGACGACTTTAATGAAATCATTCCTACTTCAAATAAAATCTAATAAAACATGAAACCATGACCATGAACATTCCTGAAACACAATCAGTGTGTCGTATTCAATAAACACCCCTTACACTATATATTTATTTTCCAGTCTGTGTGGTCAATTTTAAAAAGGCAACCTTTAACACAATCAACCTCAAACAGCCGTAAATGGACCAGAGTTATCTGACGAGCTAGTTTTCCTCAGTAGTCCCCCTATAGCTTGATATATATGTAGTCATCCTACAATCTAACAAGTATTACACATTAGCTAAAACTTCACATGGCTTTGTTTTCAATGTTACATGTGTTGTTTGTTATATCCACTTATGGATCAACACATTTTTTTTCTTTTATATGTTATTGTCTTGTTCATTTAGGTCGAAACCTTTCTCACAAAATAGATCATTTTGCCTGATTAACCTTAGATGCATTAAAGCTCAGGGCGCTGGTTTAGCTCAGTCAGTCAGTGGAGCAGGCACTGTGTGTACAAAGGCTACAGTCCTCATGGCACAGGTTGCAGGTTTGACTCCTGATCCTGATGCTATTTAGTTCATGTAATCCCCCCATCACTCTCCCATGTTTACTGTCTCTCTCTCAAACTGTGCTGTCTAAAAAAAGCCCCAGAAGTTGCATTAAATCTAAAGTAAGAAGCCTGTTTCTGTATGTAAGGACAAGAAGAAGAAGAAGAAGAAGAAGAGAGTGCTGATATGTTTGTTAAAATGTACGGGGTAATGGTATAACAGTTTTCAGAGAAATACATACTAAAGAAAGTTACAAATACGTGAAAATCTCCATCTATGGAACATAAAGTATGTGCACTTTGTCACTTCCCAATTGTGTACTTAAAACTGAGCTTATAAATGAGTTAAAGGTTAAGTAAAAATCCGTCCTTATCATGAGCGATCAGCAGGCCTCACACGGTGGTCAGACTCGAGGCTTTCTCTTTGACATTCTTCTCCTGCACGGCACACCTCAGCCTGCCGTTCACCTTCCTGTTGGACACGATGATGACGATGGGGCTGAGCGTCGCGTACAGCGAGGAGAAGACGATCCGCAGGTCAGAGATCAGGGAGGAAGTCATGGTCTTCACGCTGAGAGTGTACACCCACAGCCCATTGTCCACCCCATAGAGGACCACGTACAGGGTCACAAGAGCTACCACGGCTTTGGCAGCTCGGCGGTTGGCCCCTCCACTCACTCCGCTGCTGCTGCGGAGCCCCTTCACCTGTTTGCTGTGCTTGTAGAGCAGGACGAGGATGATGAGGCTGGCTAGAGTCATGAGGGCCATGGGCACAGCATCTCTGCCCACCTGAGCCGCCCCGTTGGCCTCTTTGGACAACTTTGACGGAAAGTGAACGTAGCAGAACTGCACGTTGATGCCGTGGCTTATGACGCTGGAGTTCCTCTCTGTGCCAAAGGAGAAGAGCACAGCTGCAGAGCTCATGCAGGTGTTCACAACCCAGAGCAAGAGGAACACAAAGACAAGATAGTGAGCTACGACAGCACGTATGGAGGCCCAGCATGAGCCAGGAGGGGCGAAGCTCAGGCACTGGTACGCGCTCAGCACGAAGGTGAGCCAGATGGAAAGGGAACGGGATGTCCTGTAGACAAATATCACGGCTTTGCAGCCCAGATCTCCAAAGATGGAGGCCAGGCTGAAGGAGGCGAGGGTCTCCAGGAGGCAGCGGACGCCCACCACAAGGAGGTTGACGCATGCAAGGTGCAGGACAATAGCGTCCGCTGGGAGGAGCCGGTTCTCCTGGTAGAACAGGAGGAGAAACGCCAGGATGATGACGGTGTTTCCCGGGACTCCCACAACGGTGAGAGACAAGTAGATCATCCCACGCACAAACTCCTCTGAGGGCATTCCTGCAGGAAAACAAAAGAATACAAGAAAAACTTATTTTTTTGATGTGAATATGTAATACTACTCAGAAGATTTACAACCACACACTTTGTTACTATACAACTTAGATTTGATTTGCCTCTGATGAACATGTAATGTGTCTGCTGGATGTCTCTAGCCTGACATAAAACAATTACAGCCCAACACTGTTATACTGCAGACGTTTACCTGAGAAGAGTCAAAGCTAACGAGGGCTGAAGCGGACCTTGCCCCCAGTCGCTTTCTCCTCCAGTAGTCGCCTTGTTTGTGCTCTTATACTTGCAAGCAGGTAATTGTTGTTGGATCTGTTTTTTCATGCTCCATTGACTTCTCTTCCCTCAGCCTCCAATTACTTGAGATCAATCCAGATGACTGCTTCTGTCCCCTCGCTGGGCGCAGAGCGACAGGATAACACAGAACGAAAGATTTGGATTAATTTACAGGGAGCAACAGTGGACGAAGAACACGGAGCTAATGAAGGGGCGAGCTTAATGTTTGTACTCAGAAGAGATTAAAACAATTTCTCAGTGTCACTATTAAATGCTTTTTCTAATTACTGATCCTATATTTAGATTTCCGTTTTAGACGCGCTGCATGACTTCAGTATTTTTTCATTTCTGCAAATCAATCCCAGAAGCCACCACGTATAAGAGGCCTCTGATGTGAGTGTGTGAGTCGGATACCGACGCCACAGTGTCCTCCAGTGGAGAGAGTCGAAACAAAAGTAAAAGCCGGAGGACTTTCCACTCGGTCTGCATGATAGATGGCATGCAGTTTCATTTGTGGAGCGTGACATAGTATCTGATTAAAGGTTTTGTGATTGTTTCAAAGCTCAGAAAAAAAGATTTAGACTGAAAGTCTGAGAAGAGTGTGAGGGAAAACTGGTGCCTGCATTATTTAATGACACTTTGTAAACGTCATTCACACACATTAGTGCAATCTGACCCCTTTGTTCAAATTTCACAGATTCAAGATTCAAGACTTTTTCAATGTCATCGTGAAAGACAACAAAACAGAGAAGCATCTCCCTGAAAAAATAGACAAGCAAAGTATGTTAACAGATTAAAAGACAAACAATATAACAAGATAAAAAACTGCATTTATTAAAAAAAACAATATTTACAGTATTTACAGTGAGACAACTACCGTATGCTTGATTGAGGTATTTTACCTTTATTAGAAAATTGAAATATTGTTTGAAGAAAGCCTGTAAATTAAGGATTTAAGCTTTAAAGAAGTGCTCAGGAACAGGAGTTAGCCTTAATAAATGACAAGAACAAATATTACTTCATAGAATCAGAATAAAGGTGAACACACACATCAGATGCGCGGAGTAAGTAGAGCTTGCTGGGCAGTAAAGTTGCAGCAAACTGTACACATTGAAGAGTTATTGCACAACAGATTTTTGCATATAGAGTCGAATAAAGTCATTGGAAGTCAATGTTGCTCCCCTTCCATTAAATGCAAATATAAAGTCTGAAGCCTGTCAATATCACACGGGAGAGCGATAAGCCAAAAGCCTCTTAAAGTGCAGTTTTGCTGTGGGACAGATTAACAGCACAGTGAGGGGTGCAACTGAATATTCCCTCTGCAGCATCCAAAGCTGCAGCCTCAACACAATGCTTAAAGGTGCAAAAGGTTACAAAGTGACACGTTCTGAACTAAATCAAGTTGTATGTAGGGAGGAGAAGTGACCTGATTTAGGGTTATAATGTGCATTATGATGGAAGATGATGTACTTCTAAACAGACGGTCCCAAAGTTAACTACCATTTCAAAAGTTTAATAACTGATATTTTAACCTCTAGCCGTCCCCTGATCAGTTAGCTGTACCCGAGTGCTCAGCTATTGTTCCTGGGGTCCACATAAAAAAAAACATTAACAGGAATAAAAAAACGTACATTAAAAACATAATTAAGCACTATAGGCCACTCAAACCATCACATTTAGAAGAGGGCATTAGAAATGTAATTAACACAAATCCATTTTTAAAAATGATTTGATTAAAATATGTCTTTAAAGATATTTTAATATTAGCTATTTAACTTCTGTCCCCTGTTCGTGAAGAGCACCTGATTCCTCAACATTTTTGACCTCACTTCTTCCTTTTATTCCTATTTTAATGTTAATTGTACACATGATAAAGGTTCATAGGGACTGAAATATGTGATTTTTTTTCCAATAAATGTGTGATGCTTAGCAAGACTAGTGTGCAGGATGTTTTCTTTTCAAGTTACAGTTTGTTGTCCTACGCACCTGCATCATGAGATAGTTGGATGTGTGAACACCTCCTTAATGAAAAACAATGTTAACTGTACAGAAATGTAAGACTTTAAAGCGTTGTAACTCTTACAGTAACTTTGATTCAATATTGAAACATTGTGTTCTTACTAATAAAGAGGTAATGGATGATTTCATGCATAACCTCTTTAAAAGCAAAAACATGATCAAAACAATGAGAAAATAAAGATTCAGTTTGTATAAAATCTGATTATTGCAGTGGGAACAAAATAATTTACATCAGCAGTACACAACAACAAAATCAAGTCTCTTGTTATCATGCGGCTGAAAAGATTTTCAAACATACTGTTCGGAATGTTGTCCCATGAGAAGGACATGCTTGAACTTGCCATTTTAATGAGCTCCCTGAACATGTAAACATGTAAAAAACACACTCCAGAAGATGCTAAACTCCAAAGAAAACTCCCGGGAGAAAACAAAAAGTCTCTCAAGCAATACAGAGCTGCACATTCGAATGCTTTAAATGTAAAACATGTTTTTTTTTTTTACAGCTTAAACAAAAAGAGCTGTAAGACTATAAACCTTCTGAGGTAACATGTGTCAGAGCTGAGCGTTGAGAACCAAAATTAATAACAGCTCACCGTCCCAGTGTCCCCAATTAGTACAAACATGCATTGTGATAGGGCTAATTGTCTGGCTCCTCTGTGTCTTTAACTCGCTCCCAGGACGTGGAGCAGGAAGGCAGCGCGCGCATGAAGCACCAGCTGTGTGTGTGAAAGCCTCCTGATGGCTCATTCAAGGCTTCATCAGTCTGCTGCTGCATCAACAATAACTGCACACAGTTGTCTCTGCGGGGGGGTAGTTTAACTCTATTTTTAACTCCAGGGGGAAAAGAGATTTATTTGACTCGGAAATCAGTGACAGAGAGAATGGGGAATGACATGGAGCCAGATTTGAACCCAGGCCGCCCACTTCAAGGACTACAGCTTCTGAAAAATGGATGCGCACACTAACCACTTGGTCACCAGTGCCTCAGAATTTGTTTATTTCTTGCATAACCTTGGGAAGCTCAATATCTTTTTATTAAAATGAATAGTATCGATTATATTCAGATATTACAGCCTGAAACTCATCTGGAATACTGTATTGCTATACGGTCCGAGGACACTTCATTCAGATTAAACAAAGAGGATGATTTGCAGACCCGTGCTTTATTTGTGTGAATATATTGTAAACATGCAGCTTGTGCGACTGAATCTGTTTGGGTTTTTTTCAGAATGTGCACATATCGCCTATATTGTGTATTTTGAAAGAGATTAGAGGATTGCATGAAAAACTGAAGATTCAAATTAGAACAAGTCTGACTTTATTTAAATCTCTGTTGTTGAAGATCTGCACAAAAAGAAAAACTTCCTAACATATTTCCTCTCCAAATGATGAGGAACGAAATCCACAGCTGTTTGTAGTAAAGTTTTCTCAAAAGTTTTTACGATGCTTCAGCAGTCGGGGAGTTTGGCAATCAAGTTGTGATCTTCCCTGAAAAGTTGTTCTTCTTCCTCCCTAAATTACCTCTTCGAGTTACCATCCTTCTGCTGCTGCAGCACAGCCGGGGAAACACACAAAGACGGAATCTCACACTAATAGACTTACTTTTGGAAGATATCAACTTCATTTGTCAAACTAAGATTGCTGACGCCCCAAAAAATCTAATTAACTTTCTTATATGCAGGATTACAGTTGTGATTTTTCATCACTTCCAAAAGAAACATGCAGTGTGCGGGACGCTGGAAGCATAGTCTAAAATCCTACAATTAGCAGATGCTTTTATCAAAAGCGAGGTACATCAGACAGTAAGACAACACAAGCAAGGATCTAGAAAGGAGGAAACAACGTCAGGAAGTGCAAAACAAAACAGCTTTAGCTCTGATTGAACACAGCTGCTGACAGGAAGTGCACTGAGGCAAAGCACAACATGGACAGCTGTTCTTGAGAGTTCTAATCAGCATCAAAACCATCCTAAAGAGTCGGTCGTCTCTCAACTTGAAGGTCGGGGTTAAATCCCCAGCTCCTGCAGTGACATGTCCAAGTGTCCTTTGGAGAGACACTGAACCTCAAGTTGCTCCTGAGCTGCAACGCTGGCAATGTGTGAACATGTGTGATGCAGAACTTCTATATCTTACCTATACCCTACAACATCACAGCCCCTTCAACAGACCCAGGCTCCATACACTCAGGTAGTGACAACCCTGATACTCCCTACCCTACCACCTGGCCCCTAATGGCCCCTATAAACAAAAGGCAACTTTTCCTGGTGCCAACATTACACATGAAAAAGAATGGCAAAGAGAACACAAGAGAAAATAGAAAGACCCAGAGAAAAGTCTTCAGAGAGATCTTAGAAAGAGGAGAGGGGAAGTAGAGCCAGAGTGAGGTGCTAGCACTCACCGGCTGCGGGATTGGGCTTTTGGTCTACCTCCCCCTACTCCCCCATGTTCATGAGGAAAGAGAAGAAAAAAAAACAAAGATGAATGATGGATGCTTTGGAAAATACATTACTTTCCTTTTATGGCCAAAACTACTTTGATTATACTATGCTGACATGAATGCAGTTGAACCAATTAAGCTACTGCAAAATGTCTGTGAACAGATATTTTTATCTACTCCCCAACACTGGAAACATGGTCAGAAGAGAGCTCCTACAAGCCAGAATTAAAGGAGCGGAGGATTAAACCATGCATAAAGTGTTTCGATTCTTAATTGGGAGCCTCACTTTGATTTTAAGACTTGAAAGTTGTGTGTATCCTTCGGTGGTACTTTATTCCCCTTTGAGTGCTTGTCCTCTGAGAGCCTCTGTGTCAGATTTAGATTGTTGCTTCAATTTGCAAAACTGTGGGCTGAACGCCACAACGGTGGCCAAAGATCTCAAGGGGCATCGAAGACTATAAATTGCGATTACACAGTCTATTAAACAATTAATGCAAACAGGCTTCACAGTTTATCTGCCACTTCAGGTGAGCACCATTTCCACTTTTGAATAAACAAAACGATTACAGGCTTTTACTTTAAGGTTTTCTCATAAAAATGGCTTCATTTGTTTTCATCATGTGTAAAGTGTCCCTGAAGAGAAGCCATGAAAATGTCAGTTATTATGATTAATAATATGTTATTCATAACATGTTTTAATCTCTTTCTTGACCAGTGCAGCTCTTTGTGCATGGATCTGTGTGTGACCATCAAAGGGGTCTCCTTCCTCTTGCAGACAGGGATGGGCATCTTGGGGAACACGGTGGTGCTGCTGGCGTACGCCCACATCATTTTCACCGAGTCTAAGCTCCTTCCTGTGGACATGATCCTCTGCCACCTGGCCTTCGCCAACCTGATGCTGCTTCTGACCCGCTGCGTCCCCCAGACCATGACTGTGTTTGGGCTGCGGGGCCTGCTCAATGACCCCGGCTGTAAAGTGGTTATCTACGCTTACCGCGTCGGCCGGGCTCTGTCGGTCTGCATCACCTGCATGCTCAGCGTGTTTCAGGCGGTGACCATCGCCCCCGCTGGGCCACATTTGTCCAGGTTGAAGCCAGCCCTTCCCTCCCTTGTGCTCCCCACCTTTGCAGCACTGTGGCTCCTCAACATGGCCATATGCATCGCAGCCCCTTTCTTCTCCATGGCTCCAAGAAACGGCACCGTCCCAGCCTTCACCCTCAACTTGGGCTTCTGCCACGTGGACTTCAGAGACCACCTGTCCTACGTGATAAACGGGGTGGCTGTGTCTGGGAGGGATTTTGCCTTCGTGGCACTGATGGTGGGCTCAAGCGGCTACATCCTGCTGCTCCTCCACCGCCACAGCCACCAGGTGAGAGGGATCCGTCACTCCCAAGGAAGCGTAAAGAGACAAGGGCAGCCAAAACGGTTATCACCCTGGTGGTTCTGTACGTGGTCTTCTTCGGGATTGATAACGTGATCTGGATCTACATGCTGACGGTGGCAAAGGTGTCACCAGTAGTGGCTGATATGAGGGTGTTCTTCTCCTCCTGCTACGCCTCTCTCAGTCCGTACTTTATCATCTCCTCCAACAAGAAGGTCAAGGCCAGGATTGTGTGTGCTGCCGAGCAAGACCAACTGTCAGCAGACACTCAGGAGTCGAGTGATAAATGACTCTGACTCCGACTTGACAAGCTGCCGACTGACCTGCAAGACAGCAGAGTTATGCTGACAGACCTGATAGTTTGTAACATAGCTGTAGATGTCTTTCATGTTGCTAAACAGTGGACACCTTACTAGACAGCGGTGTTAAAGGGTTCTCTCTTGCATTCAAAATCATTACAAGTTTGTTTACCGTCCATATGGCTCGAGAAGATGTACTACACTGATATTAATATTAGAGATTAAAGAATAAGTCAGTAAATTAATATGAATCGATTTGAGAGTTGATCATGTAATTTAACATTATAATATGTTTACTATGCATCCCTTTCAGCTGCTCAGTTGTGTTTTTCTCTGACTTTGTTAAGTCTCAAACAAATTTTCTTTAGGTTTTAGTTTAGGACTCCTAAGTCATGTCCTCAATATTGTTTATTAACATTTAAAGGGTTTAATATACTCATAGGGTGTATTTATAGTGCACATTTGCACTTGAACGTCACATTTTCGCAGTGATCTACGCATAGTTCAGATGTTTAAGCGTGAAAATCCTTAATTTTAGGGTTTTTTTGTGGCGGAAAAATCCATCAAAAGTAAGAAGCAAGAAGTGTGTTTTTTTTTTGTTGTATATTTCGGTTATTTCTGTGGAATCTAATGTTGGAATAAATTTGAAAAAAGAAACCATCAAGAAAAAAATACAGATTTGTTTTAACTGTTTTTTGTGTGTTTGTCGATGTTAAAGCTATATGGTTTGCAGGATTTGTTAAGTGCAGTGGTCTTAATTTAAATATTTCACCTTGTTCTTAACGGAATATTAAAGGTCAAACGATAAATTTAGACACTTACTGGTAGAAAAACTATAATATGCTCAATGTATGTTTCATGTAAAATCAACTTCTCTGCCTACCTCTATGCGGCGCTCTGATTGGTTGAAATGTTAGGAAAATATCCAGGAGAGGTGTAATATGGGTATGTTTTGCCCGTAGAGTAGGCTGTCAGGCGGTATGTTCCCGGTACGTTTTTCTGCCAAGCTTCACTCATAATGTTTGTGTCATTATTTCAATTAAAAATAGTTTAATTACACTTTAGGACAATGGAGGCAGTTTATTTCCTTTCAAATATCGACCAAAAATGAATTTCGACCCTTCTGAGACGCGGCAAATTGCGCCTGACAGATCGTACGCAGGTGAGTTAATCCCGACGAGCAGCACAACAAACCCCGGAAAAAGGGGAAGCGGAAGGTTGTGCCAAACTGTGAACAGGAGTGAAGTTAGCAAAGTGCAGAAAGCCTCAAATAAATTAAAATTGATTAGACATATGCGGCTACAGGGAAGAATAAATGAATTTCACGGTTGTGAGTCATTTTTCGCGTCGAGAAGTGGCATTTGACGTAAAGTGGGAAGCTAGCAGCTAGCTCAATCTGACAACAAGACGCTGCGACGCCACCGATCACTGATGACAAATGATTTAAAAACTCCTTTGTGATGATTGATAAAGGCGTTTTCCAGTTTGTGCCAACACGAGCCGTTCGTGTTCGTGTCAGGTGGGTCACTTTGGCTTCTATGATTATTGGGCATATTGTATAAAGGTGAGATTAAAAGCACGATCCGGAGGTTTTTACACTGTTACAGTAAAGCTGAAGATAACTTAATGTTTATTTTAAATATATTTCTGGTTCGTTGTGTTGCTTCTGTGTCGACCTCACTGTGTGTCCTGTGTTGTTGTTGTTGTTATTTAGTGAACAGATCTGGATCAGTGCCCTGTGCTCTTTGTGAAATGACCTGAGCTGACTGCACTTGTAGCACCTGAGGACAATGGCCAGAATAGCCTGGTATCAAGAGAAGGTAAGAGAAATATGATTATAACACAAAGTTCATTGACTAAGATCATACATAAAGCCTGTTATTAAATCCAATTTTCTAAAAGAAAGTGGTAATTACACACAAGAAATTGCAATTACTGTATGCATGTTAATGGGTGAACATGTTAACATGCTTTCTTGAGTTAATTCACTCATTCATAAAAAATCACTTTCATGTGATATAAAGCTGACAGAGGTTTTAGTCTAAATCTGAATGTTTAAGAGATTTTAAATCAACAGATCAAGATTATTATTAAAGTAACGAAAAGATGTAATAGACATTTCCGTTAACTGAAACAAAAATAAAAACAAAGCTTTAATTGTAATAATATTATTAATAATAATAATAATAATAATAATAATTCATTAGACTTTTATAGCGCTTTTCTAAGTACTCTAAGTCACTTAAAAAAAAGAATAACAACAAGGACAACAGAAAAGGCTAAGAGTAATGAGTGACACAGCCTCGTTTTGTTTTTTTGTCTTATCAGGTCAGTGTCCATTTTGGATGAGCTCGATGATTTCAGAAGTTCAAACAGTAATACAGTATTTGATAGGTGTTTTTTTTTGTGTGTTTTTCTTGATATTTTTCTCTGAATCATAAAGGATACAGAGATGGGGGAAAAAAGACCTCACAAAATCAAAATTAAATCTAACAAACCAGCATGAAAAACAAATTCAAACTGAAATAGAAAACAGAAAGTCGAAACGAAACAAAAATAGAAACTAATTAAAAAAACAAACTATTATAACCTTTTAAAAGATATTAATGCATGCCACTGTCATACACAACAATAAAAACTGACATTTATGTTTTCCTTTTGAAATTTAATCTGACTGGAACACTACACTGACCAACAACACAGTTTTGTTTTCAGTCAGTACATGTGTCCTCTGTACTCCCTTCCTGTTAACCCTTCTGGTTCTGTTTACAAACCAAACAATGCCGGGCAAAACGAGAACAACTTTGGAGGTGGGAATAATTAGTTAACCTTAAAACAATAATGATCAATTCTTATATTCTGATAAATCCCTTCTTTTTATCTTCACTTAGTGGTTTTGCATTTCCACCAACTTGTGTGCATATTCTGATAAGACCCAGCTATGTTTGTGTGCATATTTACTCCATTAAGCATGAGTTTGTATTTTATTATGGTAGCCATTATCTGGACAGCTGAATACATAGTATACATGTGTAAAGATTGTTTGTATTTGTTTTGTTACATTTCTGTAAGATTTGAGGATCTGTACGGTATCTCGTCAGAATGAATTACATCAGATCTTTGATTACAACAAATGTAAGACCAGGAGGGGTTTTGACTGGTTTGTCACCTACAGAGACATGATGTTTATAAGTATGTATTGTTTCTGATTTGTCTAAATAGTAAAAGGTTAAGGCGTGACCTGATGAGATTACCATGTGTTAGGGTATATTAGCTGAGCCTGGAAGTGTGCAAAGTTGTGATCCCCGCCATGTTTGTCTTTCATCTGAAGAACCCAGCTGTGTTCAGCCAGGCTGTTGAAGACATTAGTCGATGTGTCTGTAAAGCTGTGGAGCTCGTAAACAGACATACGCTGGTTACTCATTGGCTAATCTTTTGGTTTTATAGAGTTATGTAGAGTAGCTCTGGTTCAAACTCTACATCTCATATTCTTTATTGTGAGTTGTGTCACGTCCTTGTTAGTTTCTCTTTAAATGACAAATACTTTGTCAAAGCTTTCACTTTGTGGTGTTGGATAGCGTAGCGGTTATGTCAGCATGTACAGAGGCTGTAGTCCTCGGGGGTTCAAATCTAACCTCTGCCCTTTGCTGCATGTCATCCGCTACTATCTCCTCCCCAAACGTTGGGATGTGGTAATGACCTGCCACTTTTTGCCTGTCCTATCACTAAAGGCAAAAAATAGCCCAAAAAAATATCTTTAAAAACAACATTTACTTTAATTCACCCTTTGTTGGAGGCAGGTTTTACTGCCATATTGCTCAATGAATCATCAAAACACTCTAATCAGCTCTGCCCCCCTCAGTCCCTGCAGGAAGGGGTTAAAATGATTCAGTGTTTTTATGTGTCCTTGGATGGGAATAATTCACTGTCCAAATAGAGTGAGTCCAACGTCCAAATAGAATTCAACAAAATGCTGTTTGTGTTCCCCTGTAACTAAAAAAAACAACTTGTTTAATTCAATCTTCAGTGCATGTCTTCCCATCAAGCCCGTACAAATGTATTTCTTTCAACAGATCGGAGCCTACGATCAACAAGTCTGGGAGAAATCTTTGGAGCAGACGGATCTACATGTGAGACGTCTACTGATCTCTCTTTTTAAATACATGTGTGTCTGTTTATGATTTGCATAAACTGTAACTTCCATTTGTTTCAAATGTAGGGTTTGGACAGCAAACCAAGGAGGACGGGTCACATTAAACCAGACCTGATAGATGTTGATTTAGTGAGAGGTAAAGATCAATGAGCGGCACTTCTCCACCCTGTTTATTTTTTAGGAATTAGTTCATTTGACTGCATACTCCACACATACCCTGTCGACACATACCTTGTTGACATGTACAAAGTAATTATGAGGTTCAATGTATGCTCCTCTCAGGATCAACATTCAGCAAAGCCAAACCGGAGAGTCCTTGGACGTCTCTGACTCGCAAAGGTTTGGTCAGAGTGCTGCTGTACCCGTTCTTCTTCCAGTGGTGGATCCAGGTGACGTCCAAGTACATCTCCTCGTGTATCCTCGTGCTGTACTTCATGCAAGGTAAGCTCGTCATCTGACAGTTTTTCTGCAGACTGCCTTTAATTTTGAGTGGATTTAGAACAAGAAACTTAACTTATTTAGACTGGTTGAAAGGAAGGACACACACACACACACACACACACACACACACACAGACACACACACACACACACACACAGACACAGACACACACACACACACACACACACACACACACACATATAAACAAACACACACAAACAGGCTTCAAACATCTGATGGAAAAACACTGAATGTTGACATTTTGGTGGCTTAGTCCTATTTCCTGTTTTTCTAAATTAGTAGTTGCAAGTGGCAGATATAATGTTGTTTGTAGTTGCTGTGTAGACTTGTGGTTTGAATAAGAAGATACAAGTTAGTTTTTTAGTGACTAAAAGGTTACTGTATCAGATCCATGCATTAACTTTTGTACTTAGTGATTCCCAATAATGTGACTGAGGCCTTATTTGGTACTGGATTTGTCCTGGACCTGCTCTTATCATGCATCTGATTTTATACCTCAGAGAAGGAGCACATGTTTTAAACCCAAAGACACAACATTTACCACAAGTCATGGTTTGAAAACTTACTGACAAAGTGGAACGATAATCTGCACTCCTTACACTCTCCTGTTATAAAGACTTTTATTGCAGCAGTGAAATTGTGAGTGTGTTGTTCTTCAATTCAAACATTACTGCAGCTGCAGTAAAAATCCTTCAGGAGGGTTTATTTTAGAGATTTTGTCTTTGCTAAGCCGTGGAGACACAGTGACACTATTGTTCATAAATGGAATAAATACTGTACTCTTTATTCTTCTAATGTGCCTTCAGCTATGTGCAACACTAGATTGTTACCTGTCTCACCTGCACAGCCCAAAAAGAGCTCATTAGTTAGCATGAATTCTGCTTTAATGGCTCCCTGAAGAGAGCGTTTTGTTCCTGTTGCCAAACGTTTTCCTCCCCTCAGTGGCAGCGGTTGTGCTCTACCTCGAGATCCCCGGGGCGAGTGCCAACGAGTTGGTCGGACCCATGTGTCTGATGCTGCTGTTGGGCACCGTGCACTGCCAGATTGTGTCGACCGAGTCCAGCCGGTGGCCCTCGGGCACTCCAGCTGCCAGCTGCACCGCCAGCCCTGCACGGAGAAGGAGGTGGGAATCTCATTGTTAGGCACTGCACACTCATTTTCCTTTACTAACACACCCTCACCTCTACACTACACACAGATTAACAGCCACGTTATGCACACAAATACACTTTGAATATCAGTGTAAATGAATTATTTCACTGAATGTCCAATATCGTTTTCAGTCCTGTAGTTTTAATCTGTCTTCCTTCAGGCCGAGAAAGGGCAGAGGGCTGAAAAAACCTGAAGAGAAGAATGACAGTGAGGACACGGAGCAGCAGGAGGCCTGGCAGTTTGAAGAGAGCCAGCGGTTATACAGCGATGAAGAGAGGAGGGTATGTTTACTCATCTGACTTGTCCAACTCAAATTATAACCAAAAATCAGGAACTAATGAAAGTATCAAAAAGTTATTTTGAGAAAAATAAATCATCCATGAAGGTAGTAGTTTGTGTGACCTGAGTCAGTTTCATATCAGCAAAAAGAATCGTCAGAGAAGTAGTAAAGAAAGGAAAATGTTAAGTGCATTCAACGAAGTTCTTCAACCTCCTGGAAAAAGTTTATGATAAATACAAGAACTTTATTTTCAGTTCATTAGATTATCACATTTGTTACCTTTCGGTTGTGCAGGATTTAATTCACTGTTGAGGTGCCCTAAAGATGTCTTAATCTCACTCTTTAACTACAGGTTTTAACAGGCTGATTATTCTGCTGCCTATTGGTGCGTCGACAATCACATTTATTGTCACAAAGTTTAGGGGTTTGTTTATACCTGCATGCACTTGTGCAGGTGTGTACTTTTGTTTTCAGCACAGGAAAAACTCAAGCTCACCAGTTGAAGAAGAAATGTAGTTAAAGTTCAGTTTCATTTTTCTCATAAATAAAGCTGATGTGAGTATCTTATAGTTTGTGTCGAGTTTGGTGCCACCTTTGCACAAAAACGATACCGCTCTTCCCGATTTGCTGATCTCGTCTTGAACATGTGTGAGTAGTCTTTTCTGACAAAAGAAATCTCATCCAGCTTTCTTAAAACAGTCAGAAGTAAAGCTCATTGGGATTGTTTACCTAGGAAACTGTAAAAAGGTTCTTTCTGCAGCAAGAATTCAATCACTGGGTCTGACACCTACCCTGCTGCAGCAGTTACAGGCATTAAAATAAGAAGGTAGAAATGATCAATCGTGTCACTGATGTTCTCTTTTGTTTTTGGAGGTCATTTAAAATCATCCCTGTTAACATCAGTCTTTTCGTAACCAGTTATAAACTACTCACAGGAGCTTTAAATTACTTAAAATTAACAAACAAAAAAAAGTATTACATAAAAACAACATTATGGTTCTTGATTATTTCAACTCAAAGTATTTAGCTGTGTCAAAAATACATTTTGAAGAGTCCTGTGTGTCTTCATATCGTCTCTCGCAGAACAAAAGAAAGTCGGGTTTGGGGCGTCTGACGAGCTCTCCAGTGAGGAAGAGGAGGGGGTTCAACCAGTGGGAGTAACTCCTCCACCTTCTCATCCTGAGGGACATCCTGCATCCCTTTCTTCAGTTTGGAGGAGAATTCCAAAGCTTAACCTCAAGCCTTTGTTAAGATCTCAGGTACACCTCTCTGTGAATGCTGTGTGTTCATGAAACTAGTGTTTAAATCGAGATTTTATGAAGTCTGAGAAACGTGTGTGGTTGATAGTTTTGATTACAGAACATGGATTTTAGGCTGAGTGCAGCTTCAGCATGATTGAGACAACTGTTTATGCTCTGAAAACAGGAAGGAAATGCTACCTCCGTCAAGGTGAAGCCCCGAGAGGTAGAGCGCCTCCGGCCAATCGTGGGCTCTCGACAGGCCTCTGACACTGATGACACATTGTGGGAGGAGCTTCTTCAAGGCCCTGACTCTGCTTCTACGGGAAGCAGCGAAAGTGAAGGGAAAGTGAGGTACAACGGCGGCGTGATACTCCCACAGAGCAACACGATGAGCAGCGATGACGAGAGTCTGCATCAGGGGATCAACGGAGTAAGATCAGCAAAAAAGTCCTCAAATACTCTCAGTCTGTCTCGTCTTATCTTTGCTGAGTCAACATGTTGGTGCGTTTTAGTCATTGGATGTCAAACGGCCCCAAAAAGATGCTAGGTGTGTTTATACTTGATGCTCAATGCTGATATTTTTAAATGATTCAAATTGAAGCAGCCTTATTTAATGGAAGTTTGGAAGTGGACTGTCATAAGACCGTAACCAACTCCTTTATTTCAAATAAGCTTAAGTTAGGTTCAGACTATAGATGTAATAAAACATGGACACAGGCTCAGTGATGTCATCCATTGGTTTTTGAAGAGATGTTGTGAAGCCTAATGATGGTGGTCCCCATATTGGAAACGCTGTCTCCGACTAACTTTCTACCAAACAAGTAACAGGTTAAGAGTCGGAGCTAGGGCAGGCCAGACGCCTCCTGGAAAACAGCTACAACACGCCCACCCAGTACTGATTTTACCAGAAAGGAAATGAGATTTAGAATACATATTTAGTACCAGGCTTTAAAAAATGCATTTTTTTAATGGGACCAAATGGGGATCACTTGGCTTTTAGAGCCAGCCTCAAGTGGACACTCAAGGAACTGCAGTTTGCCCCTGCACATTCTCCTGAATCTCTTCTCAACACCAGAGGTTGCCTCTTGGCTCTCACTGGAGGAGGTTTTGGCTCATTCGTCCCAAATCCACCACTCCAAAGAAATGCAGGAAGAATTCAGTACAGATGTTCGGCCCAGATTATCCGGTTGTTCTGGATGAGTCACTTCATGAGAGATCAGTGGACAAGGAAACAGAGCTACTGAGCCCCTGACTCTGTTTCCTCAGTGTTTACCTCAGCTAACATACTTTATTAAACTATTATAATTTCACCTCCAACTCAATCTGAAGAGCTGAAGTTGAATCTCCTCAAACTTTCTAAATCCAGACTTGTAAAGTATTATTCTCTCTTTTTTCTTATCGCAGGTTATTACTTTAGCAGGATGTTGCACCACATTCTTGTCTGTTTTGTTGACATCCCCTTTTCTTGAATCATGACATCACTGGTGGAGTTCTACCCAGTGCACACACTAAATCCTTAATAATATCCCACAGTCAGTGATATGACATTATTTCCACATCTGTAGTGTTTGTATGTGTGAGATAAGAGAAGAGAATGTGAGTTAATGTGAGTTTGTCTACTCACTTGTGAGATGCAACCTGATTACAAAACCTCCACACTGCCCGTCTCTTTAGTCTCTCTCACGACCTCTGAACGTTATTTATTGTGTTTAATTTCAGGGCCAGCTGTCATGGCTGCAGGCGTGCCACCCATCCAAGGACCGTGTCAGCGCCATAATATGGGAGCAGGGCGACTGTAAGAAAGCAGACATGTCAGTATTGGAGATCAGTGGGATCATCCTCACAAGGGTACAACGTCTTCTTTATGTTGGTTTTATTTATTGATACAGAATGCTTAGAGACACTCATCAACTCAGATAGACGGATGTATGTACAGAGAAACATGTACTTGTTGATCACACACTCGAAGAAATTTCTGGTGTTAGAGCAGCATGTTATCAGAGCACAAATACAACAGCAGATAAATAAATACAAAGGAAATTAACCCTAGCACTACAAGAGAGAAGGATGTAATTAAAAAATACACTTAAAAACATCTGCAACCTGTGCAGCATGATATAGGTGTGTGAATCACGGGGTAACGATAATATCCTGATACGATAATTGATGTGAGTTGTGGAACTATTTCCAGACACCTGCTCCTGGTGTTGCAGCAAACAAATGTCTGATACTCTTTTCCACTAGAGTCTTCTCTAGAATCTGTTTATTTTAGTTCACGATCGGGATTCAATAATGCACATAAATGTCTCATTCTGTTCGATGCATCAGAAACGTAATAAACTGTTACATTCAAGTCAAACAGACACGGTCATAAAAACGAAATGCTTCCAAATACACACATTGGAGCCTTGGCTTTGTGCACAACATGAGTCAAGACTCCACCCAGTGTTCAGTGTCAGAATTACACTTAAATATAAATTCACAGTGGTTTCTTGCAAAGATCAGTAAAAACAAGGATTTTGGCTCCAATAGTCCCTCTTGAAAGGTCCAGAGCAGGATTCATGTTTTCATTTGCTGCCATTTAGAGTCAGTGTCACTCTCCTTATCTTCACTTCTTTTCACCGCCCTCAGACATTTTTCCCAATACTATGCTGTTTTCTTCTTCTTTGGCCATTTAACTTCTATCCACTTTACTGTGATTCATGAGCGCCACCATGAGGAGTCATGAAGCAGTGATGCAGGAAATCAAATTGCCAGGGAAATCTGTTTAGAGCGTAGAATATATATATATTTTTTTAATTAAAATATTTGGCACCATAGATACAATTATGCATGACCAGAGTCAGGACGTCATTACATTTTGGAATCAATATTTTGTCCCTGCCCTGATTAAAAATTAGAATCAGCATTATTAATTACGGCTTAAATTTGATGTTTTCATTCTGCTGAATAAACTTTCCTTCTGCTCAGTATAAACATGTTGCTCAGTAACACCTGTATGTGTCTCTCTCTCTCTCTCTCTTGTTCCTTGCTGTCAGGTGAAGTCGGTGGAGCAGGGTGTGGGCTATCTGGCGTTCGGGGGGCTGATGACGGCCACCTTGGCGCTGCTTCCCTTTGCCTTCCGCTTGTCTCAACGTCTGGACATGTCGAGCGTGGGCTCTCTGTCCCCGATAGAGCTGCTGGAACTGGCGGTGGGACTGCCTGACAGACAGACATACGTCTTTTCCTTCATTACGATGGTGCAAAGAGTCTGTCTCACGGGACTGTTCTTCTTCATGATGTGTGTGGCTGAGAGAACATACCAACAGGTGAGCACTTTGTCTTCAATGCTGCTTTTGAAATCGTTTTTTTTTAGGTTTCTCTTTTATTGTGTTTGGTTGTGCAACACTTTGGTCAACTTTTGTTGTTTTTATTTGCTTTATAAACAAGTTGGATTGGATGTGAAGCAGCACAATAAATACAATCAAAACGAACAATGAGCAGCCGTACATACAAACTTTGTATAAGGTTCATGACTTAAAGAAGTAATTAATTAAATAAAATAACAAGTGAAATCAGCAAAAGTTTTTAGATTTCTCAATATAATTTGATATCTATTCCTGCTACTGTCTTTGTTTTCCAACACAGTTGTAGGATTGTTAAATGGTAAACAGTCCTTTGCCTCTCTCTTTGACTTGTGTTGTGTGTGTGTCTTTCTTTTCCTCAACAGAGGCTCTTATTCGCCAAATACTTCAGCCACCTCACTTCAGCTCGCAAGGCCAAGAAATCTGAGATCCCTCACTTCAGGCTGAAGAAAGTCCAGAACATAAAGATGTGGTTGTCTCTGCGCTCTTTTCTCAGGGTTAGTATTCTCCTGCTTCACACACGCTGCTCTCTTACAAGTGCACATTGTTTCACCACTAGAGCTCTGTGTTGTTCTGACGCTGCATCATTGATCTGCAGAGACGAGGACCCCAGCGCTCCGTTGACGTCATTGTCTCCACCATCTTCCTCCTCGCTCTGTCTATTTCAGTCATCATCTGTGCACAGGTCAGTCAGGATGTCTGATCTGCTTAGAGAACAAAAATCGAATAACACTGGTGTGATGAATATTACATAAAGATGTCACAACTGGAAGAGAACAGCGCGATATGTAGCCATGTAATCATATTACCTGAGTAAAATAAGAAATGCTGCTAGAAAGGAGAGATTTTTAAGCCTTGCTGGATACATATAAATCCTGTATTTTCATAATAAAAGTATTGTTTTGTTTTGTTGTTTCACTCTCCTCAGCTTCTGCACAGCCACAAAACATTCCTGGAGTCTCTGACAAACTGGGAGCTGATGGTGTGGGCCTCCTCTCTCATCCTGTTTCTGTTGCGTCTGGCCACGCTGGGCTCAGAGACAAACTGCAAATACAGCAACTCGTCAGTGCTTCTCACTGAGCAGGTAACGACACCGTACCTGCAAAACACACAGAGCTGAAAGTAGTATTAGTACCATCTATTGTACCATCAGCGTAGGGGTAGTTGGTATAATTAAATCCATACTTAAAAACAAGTGTTATGTCTCGAAGAAGATGTAAAACTGTTCTTGTTTGCAGATCAATCTGTATCTCAAGATGGAGAAGAAGCCCAACAAGAAAGAAGAACTCAGCATAGTGAACAATGTTTTGAAACTTGCTACAAAGCTGATGAAGGTAAGATATGTTAGTTGTATTTATAACAGTTCTTTTATCAATGAGTGGCCTTTATCTGAATTAGTGTCATTTTTCTTGGTACAGAATCTTAACAGTGAAGCCAAACTCTGAATAGCTCTCAGCATCACCAACAAACACAAGAAAACTAGCGAGCTAACCATCACAAATATTCCCTGGCAGCTGGAGGCGCGTACTTAATTTTGCCAACGTTTCTCTCATTCAGATCGTGATGGGAAAAGGGGAAACGTAATCGGACAGGCATGCCTGCTGTTGCCATGGTACAATCAGGGGAAAAAAGCCCTGAAGTTTGAGAATAGTCTCATGGCTCTCACTGAAATCGTTCATTCCCGGCTTAAGAATGTGAAATTAAAGGCTGATGTGAATATGTGTGTATTAGTTGTTTTCAACACAAGAACAGGTATCAGCCCATATGTTCTCTATTAATTATCTTATTTCTATTAATTTCCCAGCAGAGCTACTTTTGCCAAATGCCTCTCATCAATAATGACTTCTTACTTTGACCCTTTCCTGATGATAAGGGGGTCCTTGTTGTCAAGTTTAGATAACGTTGTACTCCCTCTTACCTCCCTCAGGAGTTGGATACTCCGTTCAGACTCCTGGGTCTGACTGTGAACCCTCTGATCTACAACATCACCAAAGTGGTGATCCTGTCGGCCGTGTCTGCTGTGGTCAGTGACCTGTTTGGCTTCAACATCAGAGTGAGTGTTTTAAAGAAATGTTAACACATCAGCGCCTTAGTTTCTATGATGGTAGTGTCTGCCATTACAGACACTTCAAAATGTCAAATTTGTACCTGAATGCCAACCTGTGATTTTTGTGTTTTTGTTGAGATCTTGTTAAGATGTTTTCCAGTAATGAAGATTGTATCTCTTCCCTTTACTTTCAGCTGTGGAAAATCAAGTCTTAATGTGAAAACAACAAACCACTGAGAGTCAATCAAACACTGGAGACCTGGAGCAGCTTGTCCGGAGCAGGCGGCCTCTCGACCATTAAAAAGTGTAAACCTACTGACAGTGTAATTGTTCTCTGTGCCTTCCGACCTCTAGTGGTGTGTTTTGGGTTTCATCGAACATTCACAAGCCTGAAATGCTCTGAACGCTCAAACAAACTTACAGGCCGGCTCTCTGCTCTGTACCTTCGACCCTTGAATGTTCCTCAGTGTGCGGTTTAATATACGGCGGTGAGAGGAGGTCTGAGATCATTTCAGGCTTCGGCACATTCCCATTTGTGTTTTGTACAGACGTGTAAATGACTAAAATGTAGACAGCTTGTTTATAGTCGTATTCCCTGATGTTTCTCATCAGTGTTTTAGGAAGTAAGAGTAACTGTAAAACAAGCAAAGGAATCTGCTGACTAAAGCGGGTAAATCAAAAAGGGGCGACCAGCTGTATACATTTCTTTGGTGTCAATCTTTTGTATTATTTAAGGAGGAAATATTGTGATTATAAGTGGGCTTTATTTATTTTGGGGTTTTGTCTTGGCACTTAAACTTGCAAAGGTACCTGTAAGTTATTGACCACTATCTGCCTTTTGTATCGAGGACCATTGTTGATGAAAAATAAAATGACTATGCAAAATGAAAATGATTAAATAAAATGTTTTATCCATCATGTTGGCATTCATTTTGTTATGTTTTTCTTTTAATATGCTGGCTGGCAACTTATCTTTTAAGTTTTTCGTGTGCTTTATGAATTTAGTTATTTTGTTTTTTATTGTATTTATCCTTTCTTCTTTTTTTTTTAATTAAAGCATTGTTATTTAGCCTGATGTATGATGATATGACAGATCTACCATCAAGCTTATGGTAGACAACAATTAAGAGAGTGCTTAAAAGGCTTTTTTTTTATTTATTAACAATGACAATGAAAGTTGTTTTATTGTGAAAGGAATCGGTTTATGGAACAATCTCAACAGAGAAACTAAAGAATCAAAATCAAACATGAAATTTAAAAGAAAAATGAAAGCCAGTTTGTTGAATAAATATGAAGAAATATGTCAGTGAGATACTGTTTTTTTTTTTCGTGATGCTGTAATAGCAATTTATTGTGATATACTTTGCATAATGAATTGGTAAGGAGGACTTACAAGGGGGGCTGCCAGTGGCTGTGTTTGCCTGCAGCCAATTTAATTTAAATTGTTTTTGAATTAAGTGTTCTGTTTTGTTTTAATTAATGTTTTGTAAAAGAGGGGCAGATATTATAAGATTAATCTTTCTGCTCCTTTTCATTCAAAATTTGTTGTTTGTTTTTCTTAACTTTATTGTTTTGTTTTTTTTATTAAATAAAATTGACAAATAAAAAAAAAAAAAAATCTACAAAATATCTACTACCAAGGTTACGGTAGACGAAAATTATGACAAAATATGGAGATTTGTACACGTCTTTTCACATTGAATCTATTACGCTGTTAGTATTATGTACAGAAAAAAAAAATACTTTAACTTTTTTAAGGCTGTTTTTTTTTTCTTTTGCATTTACGTACGTCACGATGGATCTATTATCAACGTTACGGTAGACAAAAATAGGACACATTTGTAGGCTGTCTTTTCTTTGAGGGTTTAATTTTTTCCTTTTAAATAAAGCTTTTTCTATGACGTTACCGTGTTAGCTCACGATATACTTATTATGAAGGTTACGGTAAAGAGAGCGAAAAACCCCCCCCCCAAAAAAAACCTGTGACGTAGAGGCACACCTCCAGTTTGGAAGGACACCAGCCAGCCAAGGAGGAGGAACCAGCCAGCGCCAAGGACAGGACAGGCCGACCAGACTGGCTCCTCCGGCCGCAGCGGCGGACGCAGACTCCCGGTCCGGCAGCTCGCGTGTCATCCTTGGTGTGTCGGCTGAGGCGATTCACTGCTGCAGGACCTGACATTTTTTAATTTCTACCAGGTAAGAATAAAACGAGTATGATGCTGTTAAAAAAAAACAAAAAACGCGTCTTCAAGCAGATTATGTTTAAAATGTCAGTGTCGCATGAACTCAGTCACCCCGGTTGGAGAGGAAATCATTGCTTGCCTTGTTCAGTGGTTTTCTGTTTGTTTATCCAAGCGGATTTTTCCCCCCTTAACAGATGATGTGGCAGCTTCATTTCTCTTCATCCTTTTCTCATCTGGCTGCATCCTTCGTTGTAACCAGGGAAACATGAAGCCACATACATAGCATGTTTTTTAGAAAAGGCTCTGTGTGTGTGTGTGTGTGTGTGTGTGTGTGTGTGTTTAAGAGGTGCATGGACATTACACATTTAGTTTTCCTGACTTCTCTGTTTCAGACAAGCTTGGCCAATGTTCCTCTGAGAAAATAAAAGGAGCTGATATGACCTCCATCATGTCAAGCCCTCAGACAGACAACGGCTGTGCAAACTCAGCAGAAGCCAAGAAAACAGACCTGAGAATGTATGAGAAGAAATGCTGTGAGTAAAGTCTGACTTTGCCCATGATTACATTCAAACACTTTCTTCATACTTGACCGCTTTAATCGTCTCCAGGTGCTCTGCTGGTAACATAAGACAGTGTATTGTTCAGCTCTTGGTTGCTTCTTAATCTCTTCCCTGGGTCTCTGCAGCTCATTTCATTTAGACTGCAACCTGCAAAAGTCAGAAATTTAAAGTGAATGTCTTCAGGCAAAAGAAAGGTGACACCTAATAAGAGTATAAAACCTTTCTCATGGGCATCATGGTGGGGGGAAAAGTGGGACTGACTACCCAGGGCCTAGATAAAGAAAGGGTTTCTGATTGGTCCTGAAATGAATACAGTTTTGTTTGGATACCATGACAACAACAAAAAAGTCTTATACACCCAAATGTTGGGTAATATCTTGTTTTTAATTACCCCCCAAAAAATGCAAGCCAACTCCTGCACACTGAAATACCACAAATATGTTTGCATACTTTGGTATGTTATAGTAATATTACAGGGTTGGCTGGGGCTGTTTCTTAAGTTCCTTTTTTTAACCCAAGTCCACTGATGATATTTATTTGTGTCCATAGAGGCAGTTGTTTTTGTCAAACACACACATGCCCTACTTTTTAGAATATTATAATCCTGCCAGGAAGACAACTACATTTATTTTTCCTTTTTAAGATACAGCCTCACCTCCAAAGAGTCACAGTAAATTAACATGTTTTATTTAATTTCTATGCAGGTTGTACTATTACTTTGTCTTTCTGGGGCTGAATATCGTTGTCTGTAATGGCAAAATTCCACAATGTTTTATTTAATTTCTATGCAGGTTGTACTATTACTTTGTCTTTCTGGGGCTGAATATCGTTGTCTGTAATGGCAAAATTCCACAACGTTTCAGAAGAGGCAACATTTGTTTGCTTGAAAGTGCTTTTGGATTTTCTTTTAGTCTTCTGTAATGATTTGTTTTTTTTATTAAGAAACATTATTTGTAGCTTCAGGGCCACCGTAGCTAAGCATTGGGTGGTCAGATATTATTGTTCTGAGGCCGTGTAGGGTTTCTATTATTGCCTGACATGTGTTTCTCTGTCTCCTGTGAAGCTTGGGCTTCCTACATGACTAACTCTCCGACAGTGATCGTGATGATCGGCCTGCCTGCGAGAGGGAAGACCTACATGTCCAAGAAGCTCACACGTTACCTCAACTGGATCGGAGTCCCAACCAAAGGTACTGCACGACATGCAAAAGTGTTTTTCCAGTTGGAGATCAACTGGAAAACAACAGAACGCAACATCAAAGCAACTGGATCGGAGTCCCAACCAAAGGTACTGCACGACATGCAAAAGTGTTTTTCCAGTTGGAGATCAACTGGAAAACAACAGAACGCAACATCAAAGCGTAATAATCCATGTGAAGCAGAAAATCAGGAGAGCACCTTTAACAATAGATGTTTGTATAGTGCTTAGACGGACAAAGCAGAGGCAGGAATTTGGGAAGATAACAGAATTAACATTCAACAGTCAGGCCAAACAGAGTGGTCTACAAAATCCAGCTGGAAGAAAATACAATCACAAAAGGTCAAGAAGTATAAATGCAAATAAAAGAATTAGAAATGATAAAACAGGCAGATCTCGAGTTACAGTACAATGGATGATCTTTACCTGTTAGCTGTTCTACTCAGTCCTTTACAACATTAATCGATTATAAGTGTCTTTGAATGTATCCCAACTGTTACAGAAAGACGTGTCCATCTCGTCTTTAACTTTAGTTTAACTATTTTAATGCTTTTCTTTAGCTCACAGGGACAGGACATTGTGGCCTATAAACTGTAGTACAGAATTATGTGGTTTCTACAGTATTGTTTAAATTAGATTTTATATACAAGACAAAAATGTCTGTGTTGTTTGTACAAAAGGGGGGATTAATGCTGGCTTTGACCTCCAAATGTAAGGCTGTTAGGGAAACACTTCCCAGTGACAAGTTCTATGTTCTTTAGTATTTATGCGTGCAGCATCTTCAGCCCCTCATGACATGCACTTTAAATGTGTTCACTAGACACCAAAGTATCTCAAAATAGGAGACTAAAAGTAGCAAAAGTTACATTTTAATGGTTGAAATTGCAAACAAATCTGCATCTCCATAACAGTGAAGTCATGGCTAATATGTTGTGTTCCCTCTACAGTGTTCAACCTGGGCGTGTACCGCAGAGAGGCTGTCAGAGCTTATAAGTCCTACGATTTCTTCCGCCACGACAACGAGGAGGCCATGAAAATACGGAAGTGAGTTCCACTTTTCTAAATGTGCATATGTCCATTAAGTCATTACAGCGGGGCATCCACAAATGATCTGTCGTGAAATAACATTAAGGGGAGCTGCCTGAAGCATCTCGACTATCTTGAGTGGAATATTTCTCTGAGTCAACATCAGGCTCTTTGATATTCTGCAGCCTCCTCTGCTGCATCGGTGACTAAGCTGTTTTTGAGCCAACAGTGGATATTCAGGCCAGCTCAGAACAGTGTTCATAGCACCTTCATTTGGCACTAATCTGTATTTAATGTGCACAAGCAGACACTACTATTTAACACTTTCAACAGCATGTTTTGGGGGTTTCTGGTTTGTATTCAGGCAAAGCGTCAATCACTGCGGTTTGCTGAAAAAAAAAGGAGCTGATAAATGATATAACCGTCTATTCTCTCACCGTCTTATCTCAGTCAAAGTCATTCAAATGGGGCTTTTGCTCTACATGGCTGTCATTAAAAAAACGTGACAGGCTTTGACAGCATCCCAGTGCTGAAATGTGACCCAGATATTAAACAAGCTGCTGCTGTCACTCTGAAGCTGACACGAGCACTCCCGGGTGTTGCAGGAGTATCCGAGCCGGTTTAGACTGCGGCTGTGATTAATACTGAGAGCTGGTCTTTTTGCTAGGAGCAGTATTAGCTGAGGGGGAATTACAGGAAACGTCAACGTTTAGCAAAAACAGGAAAAGGCCTGTGGGATGTTTCCAGAGCAGACATCGCCTTTGATTGGGATAAATCTGATTTGTGCTCATGAGTCAAAGTAATATTCCAACATTCTGGCAAATATGATTACCTGCAGTCCGGAATAATATGAGCATATCGATACCAATCACATGTCTGTATAATATAATATCATTAGACTTACATAGTGCTTTTCAAAATTCTCAAAGATGCTCAAAACAAGACATGAGATGATGAGAACAGAGTTTGTTAGTGGTTGTAGGCGATGTTGAACAGGTGAGTTTTGGGGATCTCTTGAAGGTGGAGAGTGAGGGGCAAGTCTCTGATGGGTTTATTTGGGAGGGAGTTCTAGAGGGTGAGAGCGGCAATGGAGAAGGCCCTGTCCCCCCAGGACCGGTGGTTAGTCCTGCAGTCTTGCTCAGCAGACCTGAGAGTGCGGGGGGAGTGTGCGGTGGAGGAGCTCAGGGAGCCAGGTGGAGTGTTATGAAGGACATGGGGAGCCAGTGGAGGTTATGAAGGACAGGGCCGATGTGGTCACAGGTGCAGGAGTGTGGATAAAATATATGTGAAGTGGATGTAGCCACTGTTCTGTCACCCATCGTTCCGAGCCTACAATCGACCTGAAGTGACCTCATTTGGGTGAGAGGGTCAACACCAAGTCGCAACCTCTTGTGTTGAAAAATGAAGCCAATGTGGAAGTGCAAAAAAAAACTGCAGTTCTGCATGTGTCCACTTGGGGGCTTGCTGCAAAAGCCTCAAGTGGCCCCATATTAAACTTGTTACATCAGAAATAAACATGGTTACAGCCCAGACACCCTGCTGTTAAGCATTAGTACACAGAAGTCTTTACATTGTTGTCGAAGGAGCACTCATACTCAAAGAGGAATGAGAGGGGGTTTGAAATGCTGTCAGCTATGTTTTAAACTTTACACAGACACCATGAACATTTCTTAAAACATAATTTTTTTAATTTTCAGATTACTTTAAGAGCCGAAAAAACATAATTAAATACAAAAAAAATGTTGAGACTTTAGGTCTACATGATACTTTCACTGGATCACTCTCTAATTTTGCATTTCTCATGGCATTTCAAGGATAGTATAACTGTTACACATTTTAGTGATTCAGGATGTTAGTTGGTGAGAGCTGTTTTTCTCCGTCTCCCACAGACAGTGTGCTCTTGTAGCTCTGCACGATGTGAAGGCCTATTTGACAAAGGAGGGAGGTCAGATTGCGGTGAGTTCATCCGTCTGTTCACTAATATCCAAAAGATTGAAAATATCCAGAGCAGGATCACATCTGGCATCAGTACGACTTAATCCCTTCTGTCCTACAAACAGTTTAACATTGTACGCCCACACAGACATGAGATATATGACTCTTTCTTTTTTTCACCCTTTATGATCCTTGTTTAGGTGTTTGATGCGACAAACACAACAAGAGAGCGCCGTGACCTCATTTTAGGATTTGTGAAGGAGAATGCGTTCAAGGTAAAACCAAATGAAATTATGATTTTATTTGTTTACGTTTTTCTTTTTGAGTTTTCTTGGAAGTTTCTTGGACTTCCTGTTGAAGGAGTGGTTAGTGAAGTTGAACAAGAGTCGCTGCAGACACAAGTTGGTGTCAAAATCAAATTGGGCTTAGCGGTAGCCGAGTGGTTAGTGTGCGTGCCCCATGTACAGAGGCTTTAGGTCTTCAAGCGGGCAGCCTGAGTTTGAATCCGACCTGTTGCTCCTTTCCCCACTCTCTCGCTCCCCCTGGTTTCTGACTTTATCCACTGTCCTATCTCTAAAATGCAGGCATTACAAGCTCAAAAACCTTTTCAAAATTACGATATCAAATGAATCTGTCTCTTCTAAAGTTATAGAGAGTGCCTATTTTACAAAAGATTGCCTGTGACATGTAAAGACTGAGAGCCAGAAAAAGCACCAGTGGTCTTAAGTGCTTGTCTTGATATTCTGATCAGAACAAACCTGTTTCATGTCTTTGTCGGTTTTTGATCTTGGGTCAAACGAGCAGTGAAATGCAGTGACTTGAATATTGTCAACAAACAGGTTGAGAGCTTGCCGAGAAACCCAAAAAGAAACAGCAATACTTTTTTTTTTTTTTTTTTTTCAAAAAGGGTTATTTTTGGCCTTTTTATGCCTTAAATGTGGAGACAGGACCTGAGTCTGAAATCATGGAGAGAGAGAGAGTAGGGAATGACATGCGGGAAAGGAGACCCATGTGGGATTTGAACCCAGGCCGCCTGCTTCTGTACAGAAAGTGGTGAGATTTAGTAAAATATTCTGTACTTTGATACTATTGATCATTTAAATAATTGGGATGGTGTCATTTTAAAACACATTGTCTGATTTTTTTTTTTTTTTTTAAAGGTTTATTTTTTGGCTTTTTATGCATTTTTTTAAGAGATAGGACAGTGGATAGAGTCAGGAATCAGGGAGAGAGAGAGAGAGACAGACAATGCGGGAAAGGAGCCACAGGTCGGATTTGAACCTGAGCTGCCCCCTTTGTGGACTTCAGCCTCCGCACATTGGGCGCAGGCATTAACCCACTATGCTGCTTTGACCCTCTGAAGGTATTTTTGGAGTGTGAAACATTTTGAGCAGCTTTGTGTGACGCAGTAAAACCCCACCTTTAACTTCAGGTTCCCTTGAATCTCTAACAAGCTTCAGGAAGTTTTACTTTAACTTGAACCCTCTGCACTCTTCCCAACAGGTGTTCTTTGTGGAGTCGGTGTGTGACGACCCCGAGGTCATCGCTGCTAATATTCTGGTATGAACGAATGTCACCGGCTGTGACTTCTTTACTGGGTCAAACCTGTAATCTATAAATATTCACTCCACGTGCCGTGTTGAGCAAACGACTAAAGTGCCTGCTGACATTTTCTGAATGTGCTGAATACCTGTGACAGGAAGTGAAAGTGTCCAGCCCTGACTACCCCGAGAGACACAGAGAGAGGGTGATGGACGACTTCCTCAAACGAATCGAGTGCTACAAGGTTACCTACCAACCTTTAGATCCTGATGATTACGATAAGTAAGACCTGGTCAAATCGTACTAATGTTTTGCATGATTTTTTAATCTGTGTGGATTTATTCCTGCATATTGTATTTTTCAAAATCTGCCTCTCATACACTTTTGTATTTATTGAAATGTTCATGATTTATTTTATAGTTTTGCTGCTTCTGTCTTGACTAAGTCTCTCTGAAGAATGAGACGCCATATTTGAATGTAGTTACATGAAAAAAAAATCAATAAATAAAAACCAGTAAAATTAAAGATTATCAATTAAAAAACTGGACATAAACGTACATAAGGCAGTCAACATTGAGATACATTCCTTGTAAAATTTGGTTGATAATCCTTCTTATGAGGAAGAAAAATTGTTGCATGTTTGTTCTTTTGCGGTGTTACTCTTGCAGTTCACAAATTCAAACACTAGATGGCGACAGTAAACAACAATTTGATCCAGATACATATTTCCTTTGTACCTGCAGGGATCTGTCTTTTATCAAGGTGATGAACGTGGGCCGGCGCTTTCTGGTGAACCGCGTGCAGGACTACATCCAGAGTAAGATCGTCTACTACCTCATGAACATCCACGTGCACTCGCACTCCATCTACCTGTGTCGCCACGGAGAGAGCAACCACAACATCGAAGGCCGCATCGGAGGAGACTCTGAGCTTTCTGCACGAGGGAAACAGGTACGATCGCCTGAGGTCTCTTTCATGATCCTCTTTTTATGAACTGCAAAGTCTTTGTCTTGTGGAAAGCCAATTACACACCCCCCCCAGCTCTGTGGGGTAAGTCATGACCTTTATCACATTTAATCGTCTGAATTTCCCATTAAAGGGTGATAGATGATGAACAGACAGATTCATTGGCGACCTTTCTCTCTGTCTCTCTCTTTATTTCCCAGTTTTCTCATGCCCTGAGAGATTTCATTGAGCAGCACAAACTCTCAGATTTAAAGGTGTGGACGAGCCAGCTGAGAAGAACCATCCAGACAGCGGAGGAGCTCGGTGTCCCTTATGAACAGTGGAAGATACTCAACGAGATCGATGCTGTCAGTACCCTGTCCTCAAACCAATTTATTAAAGAGGAACTGAGCTCTGGTTAAGATACTTGGAGACTAATTTATGGATATTATCTGAGACACTTAGGCCTAGTCCTCATGTAGACAGGTATTTTTGAAAATGTAGCTTTTTCTGTGTGTTTTGGCCTTTCATACACAGACTGCTTTTTAGGTCCCTGATAACGCACGATTTGGAAAACTCATTCTAGGGTGAAGATTTTCAGAAACTCTGTTTAAGGTGTTTAACGGGGAAAACAGAGTTTTGGGCGTGTAAAGTGACACTGTGCGCAGGTTTCTCCTCCGTTTGAGGGTATTGAGCGCTGTCACTTTTGTTTACATGAGATTAGTGCAATGGCAGCAGAACCAAACAAGTGCTGGTGTCACTGAACTTTTTAAACGCTTACGCATACAAACACAATTACTCTCCCACTACGTTGACGGAGCATCTGAATGGACAACTTTGGAAATGAAGTGGTCGTTGCAGAGGAATGGCGAGAAAACTGTTTTTGACTTGGTATGCTCATGACAACAGTAACTGTGCGTTTTGCGCTTTCATGTGGATGAAGATGTTTTTGAGAAGTGAGCGTGTGTGGCCAGGATTTTATTTTATTTTTTAAAACAGAGCAGGAAAACCTCAGTTTTAAAAAATACCCGCCTGCGTGTGGACTAGGCCTCGGGAGAAGCAGGTGGGAAAGGGTTGGTGACAAACAATAGAAAAATGAAAAAGGCAAGTAACGTCTAAAGAAACCAAAGTTTTAAAACTGTAGATAATGATCACAGCAAACAATCAAAGGTAGAGCAGGTGACACGTTAACTTAATAGTGATTGTTAAGTCAGAAACTTTAGTTTAAAACTCTCTCATGCGTCAACTCCACTGTTAACTATAAAAAATAATGAATATTAAATCTGTTTGCTGTCTCTCTATGTCAAACAGACTCAGAGCACTAACCTCCTTCTTATATAAAAAGAAAATACTCCTCTTATACTTCCTGTAGTCTCCATGTGAACTTCATTTGAATCCTGCTGTTCTGTTGTCTTAGAAGTGAAGTTAAGATTTAGTGGGACCTTGTTTTGATTTGTATTATATAATTTTATACTCGTGCCTCTACATTAGGATAACTCCCTCATTATCCTTGTCTAGGGTGTGTGTGAGGAGATGACTTACGAGATGATCCAGGAGACGTTCCCGGAGGAGTTTGCGTTAAGGGACCAGGACAAATACCACTATCGCTATCCAGGAGGAGAGGTGACCTGCCAGACCGCTATAACCTGTTTCAATGAAGTCAAACAGTCTGAAAAGGCTCTTTCATGTAAAACATTTAGACATACTGAAGCAGGACGAGCACAGGTATAATAATCACTTTCATGGTGCCTGGATGACTTTCAGTGCAGGAAGTGGGTGAGTGAGTTGAGTGAGTATGAATGTGTTGCACACTTTGTCATTTTATTTGGCACTCTCCAGCCACCGTAGCCTCCAAAATGGTGCAAGGCTTTTATTTGCACATTTTCAAAGGCTTTTTCTAAGAACGTTACTTTGACAAATCCAGGGGAAATACAGTCTAACTGTGAACATTCAGTACACGTTTTCAAATACTAATGTTTTTCAATATACAAATGTATCCCCCATCCATGCCACAGTTACACCCTCAATCTTCAGGAGACACTAAGTATTGTAAGAAGTGTAACTTGCCTGGTTTGCGGAGGAAAATTCTTGCTCTAATGTGACAATGTCAAATTGACTGCAGTTAAAGTCCTTGATTCTTTAGTTCATATTTCATATCTTCTGTTTTTAGAAGCTCACAGATTACTTTGAATCAGTTTTTGCCGTGGCATTCTGCAGTGCACTTGTAAGAAGTCTCTTCTCTCCTCCTTTCCTCCAGTCTTATCAGGATCTTGTTCAACGTCTGGAGCCTGTTATCATGGAGTTAGAGAGACAGGGAAATGTGCTGGTCATCTGTCACCAAGCTGTGATGCGCTGCCTCCTAGCTTACTTTCTGGACAAGAGTGCAGGTCTGATAAACACACACACACACACACACACACACACACACACACACACACACACACACAGTATAGGTAGTGCACCGTATAGATACACCAGCTCACACAGGCAGGAGATAAATTGTTATACGCTCTCTCTTTTGCCCCACAGATGATCTGCCATACATGAAATGCCCGCTCCACACAGTGCTCAAGCTAACCCCTGTTGCTTATGGTAGGTTTTTGCCTCAGCATTGCTCTCAGTTTGACACCATAAAATAAACAATTTGTACGATTTCAAGCTTGTTCTAAAAGCAGACGAAAGGAAAGTCATGCTGTTATACAACCTAACCCTCCTATCCTGTCTTCCATCTCCACTTCTCAGTGTACACAGATTGAGTCTGTTTCAGCTTACAGATATACTTCTATTTGAATTGATTGATTGAATCTCTCGCTTTTAAATCTCAAAATTCAGCAGCTAGTGAAGAGGTTTAAACCTTCAGAATAACATCCGGCCTCTCCTCTGAATCTTAGAGGAGACTGGATGCTGCCACTTTTATGTTCGTGTGGACGATGCTGATGTTTTAAAAAAACGCACACCTCATCTCAAAGATTACATTCTGGTTCAAAGCCGTTTAAGTTTGCTGCTCCTTTTACTCGGAACAAATTACAAATACTGTAGACCTGACACTAAACGAACCGCTCTCATTGGATGCTTTTAAGATGATGTTAAATGACACATCTGGCCGTAGATGTTCTCCCTGATATATTTATGGCTGTGGGCGATCTTGACAAATATTTGCTGTTTGAATGTGTTCAATAATGATGTATCTTTATTCTATTTGTATGTATGTAACTTTGTTAACTGTGCTGCTGTCTGTTGTGGACATGACACTCTTGAAAACAAATTTGTTTTCCTGCATAAATAGATAAATAAGATTTTTTTTTTTCTTGTAATCTGACTTTAGCTTAAATGTTTTTTCTCTGTTATCCTCCAGGTTGTAAAGTGGAAATGTTTTACCTCAATGTGGAGGCAGTAAACACACATCGAGACCGGCCTCTTGTAAGTCGCTCTGAATCCAGCCGCAGTGTCAGATTCAACATGCTAATTACTCAGTAATAATTCAGATCTAACACAGAATCTCATCCTCTAATTTAGAGATGAAAATGCTCTTTGTCTTGTTTGTTGTGCCTGCTGGTTCATCCCTTTGCTCCCTTTCTTATATCCCTGTTCTAGTTTTTGTCCCTTTTACCTGTAAAATGTTATGATTCAGTCTTGCTGGAGCTGTGAGCTAATGAATGCAAAGTCAGCTTTTAATGCCGTTATATATTTTTTCCCTTGTTTGGAGGCTATGGCTGATAATGCTACATCGCTTTGCTAAGCTAATCATCCCCATGTCTCTGGTTGCATGCTCCAAGGTAATACAGATTCTATTGTGGACTGATGTGTTTGATCTACAGTTTAACAAGGTGTACTCTCTGGATTGAAGCAGATGTTGTTAGTCCTCTGTCCTTTGTAATCAGGGATGTACTGTTATAGAAATGATGTGCTGTGTGGTAAGGCTGCAAGATCTGTAAAACAAAAAATATATATTTTGAGCACTTTATTATGCTGTTTTGTGAAACATATTGCACACAGCAATTTCTTAATCCAGTTGAGTAACTCAGAAACTTTTACATAAGCCTAAATAATTTGAGTGTTTAACCTGTGACTCATGTTTAAATCTAATTTCTAATTCAAACACTAGGGTCCGACCGATTGGGGGTTTTCCGATACCGATACTGGTGAGAGAACAAATCTGATACCGATATATTCGCCGATATCTTTCTTAGATCTATGTTCGATCTTTAGAGGTATAGTTATGGTGTATATATGGATATACACATTTATTGTTTTACGCCCTCAAATGCAGTTATTAAACACTTGTGAAAAAGATTTCAAATGAAGACAAGATGGTTCACTCAACTGTTAAGTAACTGTGCATGTACGTGCATCACAGCTTGACACTCTGAAGAGTGAGGATGCTTGTTGTAAGTCATATAGCGCCCCCTGCTGGTGAAAGAGAATTGAAAGTGTAATACAATGAAACTCAAATGAAATTCTATTTGACATGTGGATAAATCTAGTCATATTGGTGCATATCTTGGAAAAAAGCAGCCGATACAATAGTCACTGGATATGCTAATATCGGTCGGGCTCTATTAAATACAGTCACAGATGGTTAACAGTTTGCTTCCATCTCATACCGGGGCTGTTAAATCCCAACACACCAGCCTTTAATATAGTGTTTACACCATTGAGTTCAAAAGCAGTTTTGCCAACTTCAGTGAGAGACACCACAGGAGCTGAGAGCGTCGGCCCACACGTTGCTGTCCCACTGCCCTGCTTCACGCTGCATGCTCATATTCAGTCGTAAAATACCCAACTCAGCCCTGCGTCTTTAATTCTTCCTGCGTCTGTAACGTTTGGGTTTTTTATCCTGTTTTGCAAAGATTACAGCCCGTCGTTCTGTTCATCGTGCAATTGCTCTGTGTGCAAGAAGATTACTAGGACAACAAAGGTGTCCTGCCCCAAACAATGATGTCATCATCTGTTGCAATGTTTCACTCTAGACTAGTCATATGCCAATTTGGTAGACACCAATTAACACAAGCTTCTGCCACGACGATGCTGCACTTGGCCTTATACCTTTGGACTACTTGTGAAGGCCTATGTGTGTTCTAGTAGAATAATGTAGTCAACACAGTTTCTGTCCACTAACCAGGCTTCAGATATCTAAATTGTCCCAGTGGTTTACTTGTAGAGATAATGGCTAACTTGCTTGTCTGTGTATGATGAGGTGTCCCCCGAGTGTTGTAAACATTTCCCTTAACCTTTGCGGTATTTCATCTCCTACCAGGGTAATATCCCGATGGAATCTGCTCTCATACACCGGCGGAATAGTTACACGCCCTTGTCCAGTCACGACCAGGTCAAGCGGCCCAGGCTCTACAGCGCGGGCAACCAGCCCTGGCTCCCGCTCGCCCCCACCCCATCAGCTCTGATGCCAGAGGAACGGCAAAGCCAAGTTAGTTTCATAGTTACAGGCTGCCCCCTCTGAACCAGTCACTGTGTCGAGTGTTACTCAATCACCTCCCTCCATAGATGTATCCCTGTGTTTGACATTCCCTCAATCAGCTCTGGATCCTCCCGATGATTTAGTGTCTGTGTTGAAAATCACACACATAGAATCCATTTCTGTCTAGCCGCCTATCTATCTCTCTTCCTCTCTTAGGGCATGCTCTGCATCAGGAATGGGTTTTTTGTCTTCTGTTAATGTCGTGTCTGTCTGCTTTGGAACCTGAATGTTTGTCTTGCATGACCTCTGCTCCACTTCAGGGCTGTCTCTGGCTTGAATATGCAGAACGGCATGCCTCCTTCTTTGCAGAGGAACATTTTGGCCTTTATGATACACAGAAGACACACAAACATCAAAGACATGTAAAACAACCGTTCATAAACTTTGTTAATTGGGAGTAATTCCATTTCTTTTTAAACAATTTGATTTGACAAAAATTTCAAAGCACCAAACCAACATTGAATATTGAGATGCATATTCATATCTGCACATGTTGTATGTATTTGTTGGTCTTGCCTTATGGGGTTTGTTGCTTTAGCCTTTCCCCACATTTCTATCTCTCTCTTTCTTCCTCCACTTTCTCCTACCTGTCTCGCAGCCTTGGATAGGAAGCATTTGTCTGTGAGTATTTTGTAGACCCATGTTCTCGTTGCCAGCCTTTCCCATTCCTTATCTCACGCCACCATAACCCTCTATCACACAAAATGCTATCACATTGGTGTATTTTTTTATGATTTGAACTCTTTGAGTTTCTCTAACCTTCCATCACCTTTGTTAGAACGAAAGCTGCGGACGCCTTTTTTTTCATGTTAGGGTTATCAAGAACACGCTATCAGACACTGATTGGGTTGTTCAATAAATGTCTGCAACAACCGACTCTTTTATGACGGTATTTATAAGGCTCCTACGGATGTTTAGGGGAAATTAGCTTTATTGTAGACATATATACAAAAATATATAAAGCAAATCTAAATTCCCACATTCAATAAAGTTTGATCATTGTGTAAAGTCTAAAAAAAAATAACAGAATGTGATGATTTGTAAAACCCCATATTTTATTAGAAATAGCACAAAGACGACATGTTAAATGCTGAAAGGGAGAATTGGATGCAAGCAACACATTTCACAAAAGTTTGGACAGGGTCATGTTTACCTCTCTGTTGCATCACTTTTTCTTTGAACAACTTTGTAAGCGTTTTTGAGAACTGAAGAGACCAGTTTCTGTCATTTTAAAAGTGGAAAGGTATTTTCTTAGGTAGGATGTAAAGTGTTGAACAGTTCAGGGTCTCATTGGATTTTATGCTTCATAATGCTCACAACTTTTCAGTGGGTGATGAGTTCGGTTGCAGGCAGGCCATTTTATCAGCTGGAGTCTTTGACTACAGAGCCATGAGGCTGTAATTCATCCAGAACATGGTTTGGTATCGTCTTGCTGAAAAAAGCGACTTCCCTGAGGTCATACTTGGCAGCAGATTTAGCTCTGAATCCTGTATGTAACATTTAGCATTATTGAGCCTTCACTAACATACATGTTACCCATCCTGTGTGCACTACTGCACCTCCATACCATCACAGATGCTGGAGTGCTGATAACAAGCCGGACGGTCCCTCTGTTCTGAAGACCATAGGATGCAACGTCCATTATTTCAAAACAGAATTTCACATTCTGACTGCCACAGGACAGTTTTCCCAGAGAAGGCGGCAACATTTCCAGATCTGGTTTACTCTTTGCGTGGTACAGTTTAAGCGAACACTTGTGAATACAGGGATGCACTGTGTTCACAGACAATGGCTTCTGTGTCCCTGTGCCCAGGCTGTCCACTACAGAATCGTGTCTGTTTTTAATGCAGGGTTGTCTGAGGGCCCAAAGATCGCGGCCATCCAATATTTGTTTCCTGCAAAGTTTTCTTCAGACTCTTTAAATCTTTTAGTGGCATTATATATTGTAGACCATGAATCTCCAGATTCTATACAACTCTGTGTTAAAAACCTTCTTCTTAAAGTGCTGCACTATTTGCATATCAGCCTCTCCGGGATTTCTTTTTATACCTTTTATAATGTTACAACCTGTCGCCAGTTAACCTCAATAACTGTGAGATGTTTCACCAAGGGTTTTTTCAGCATTTCAAAACTTTCCAGTCTTTGGTTGCCACTGGCCCAACTCCTTTGAAACGTGTTGTTGATATCCAAGTCCAATTGGGCATGTCAACTTTCACTGACAAGGATATATCTCACTTTTAACATTTGACATGTTGCCTTTGTGCTACACTCCATTAAAATTAAGGTTTCAATGTTTTACAAATGGTCACCTTCAGTTTTAAATACATTTTTTTAAACATCCTTTTTAATGTCATGATGTATTAGAATATTTGAGTATTGACTCATTGTTAATGCAAACCATTCATTGTAGTTGATTATGATTGTGAGTACAGGTAAGTCCTGCATATGGGTCCGATTGTACAAAGAAATTCAACCCTTAAGTCCTGAAGAAGATTTAGCCAATGTGGCAGTTTTCTCTCACTCGACAAGATGACCTAATTTCTCAAATAGAAACTGAAGACTCCTGGGTCCTCTGGGAGTCTCTTAGTTTTCTCAAATAGGATTTGCTGCTTTGAGGCTTTAATTAATAATGAGAGTCATTGACCCTTTCTTCTTTTCTTGAAGGAGTCCCTGTGCGAAGGAATCGACTTTGACAGCCCCGAAGAATCTAGTGGCTGTGTCCGCTTCTGAGTGAAGAAGAAAGAGTCTTCACTTCCAGGCACATGTGGCCAACAAGTTATGAGTACAGACTTGAATCAAAGGATGGAAACTCTTGGAAGATAGTCTGGATGGAGTCGAAGAAAATATCTTCTAAGATTGAGGTCATTTTCTGGTCGTATCTATCATAACCTCTCTGTCTAACTGTACTCTGCATGCTGCAGCTTTGAACTGGAATCTCTATCAATGGTATCATAAACTCTACTGCATGTGCGCCAAAATCAATCAGTCAATCACAACATCATACTGTGTGTAAACTGGCAACTAATCCTTATCTTCAACAGCACGAATGCCTTACAGAACATGAATTACTGTCATAGAATTAGCTCCTCTGAATGTACCAAATGATGCGTTACACTGGTGGAGAACAACAGTCACTAATGCAAAAGAATATGTTATAAAGGAGAAGGTGTAAAAATATTTTTCTAATCTGAGTATGCTCATCTACGATATGTAGTTGTGATTCTTATCAATAAGGATTTTGTTTTGATTAGAGAGAATATACTGTCTGGTTCTGAGGGAATGATAAAGACTTTTTAATTTGTTTTTTTTTTTGGGATGCATTTTATATTTTTTGTTTTATTAGGAAGATATACCACTTTGTTGGACTTACTCTATACCAGACATAGATACAGTATTTACTTTTCTGTCACATTGTAGATATGATTTTTAAAACTGGTGTAAATCCTTCATGTTAATTCATTGTTTTTCTCGCCTGTGTATCATCACAAGGGGTTGTTGTGCAACAAAAAACATTACATGTGAATTAGCCATTTCTTGACCTTTGTGTTTGTTATCATACAGCCAACCATAAACTATTTTCTTGCAAATGTGTCTCACTCCTTATTTTTTCCTTACACCTGTGATTTGTAAAAACAAGTGCATGTATTTTATTTAAGACAAGTTATAAGCCTATTTTATGATCTGCAAAGTTTGACTCTTATTGCGCTGTTTAAAGCAGCACGTGTGTGCCTTTTCATCAGACGTGAAGGTGAATTTTGAAGTGATTTTTTAGAAATGTAGGAGATGCAGCAGCATGTGGAATGAAATGATCCAAATCTGTTAAAACATATTTTTTAATTTGTGAACATCATGTATATGTTCCCAGTTTAATACACCAATACAAATGATTTAAAACTGAATGACATATACAGTCTGCTCTGCTAAGGGCTACTGGTAAGATGTTGGAAAAGAGATCAAATCAAGGGCATTGCAGGTTTGACATGTTGTTAGGGAAGAGGTCTGGTGGCTCTACCTTAAAACTTCTAGGACCGACAGCTTAACCTGACAAATCTTTAATTAATAGTGAGCAAACCAAACAATAAATGTGTTTACAATTCAATTTAGATTCAACAGAATCTAACATGGTCCGGCCTTTGTGAAATGGGAATGATGTGATTTATTCTCTTTCTTTGAAGTATGTGGTTTTTGCAGAAAACAGTGACATAATCTGCCTACTTCAGAATAACTACAACTCCTATGAAAATAAAAGACAAGTGCGACGGCGCAGAAACTTGCATTTACTTAAACACTTTTGCTCTATATTTACCCTTTTTTCTTACTTTCTATGTCAGCTTTAAAACATATCAAGCGAGTCGCATGACAAACAGCTGAAAGTAGCTCTGCTTTGAGCTTTTCTATCTGTTAATAAAAAATTTGGTCCGAGGAGGTTTGCAGTACTAACAAATTTACATAGCACGTTGTCAGAGCGTCATGTCGTCACACTTACGTACCGCGACGTCCTACACACCAGTCACTCACTGGTTGTTTTTTTGTTTAAGGCAGAGCTGAAGTCAACAGCAGGTAAGAGTACGAGAAAATACAAAAACTTAAATCCCTGTCATCTCATTTAAATAAACACTCGTGTATCGTATGCCGAGAAACAGGTAACACAATTCACAAAAGTATGAAACGCTTTCAAGGAGTGTCCAGTTAACGCCAAGTTAACTGTCAGGTTAGCATGCTAACGTTAGCAGATGATACACGATAAGCAACCGATAACATTTGTGTCCGGGCGAAGTTTATTTCTTTTTATGCGTTTCTAGGATACATGTTGCCCACATTATGTGTCGATTCATGTCGGTGGTAGCACATAATGTGTGTTTCTGTTCATGCTTTAGCGTTGAGTTACTAACTGAGCCGACTATCTGTGTTTTCCTGTAGAGTAAAGTCAAAGTGGCAGAACAAAGAGATGTCATGTGTTTTGTGTCTGCAGCTGCTCGTCATCAGCATTTTCATTGTCATGATGTGGGCTACAATGACAAAACTGTTTGATAACGAGTATCCCACAGTCTGGATCATGCTGTGTTGCATTAGCTGACACACACAACAAACCAGTGCAAACCATGAGATGTGCTGAAGTACTTTTTTTTTATTATTATCAACTCGAAAAGAAAACAATTCGGATGTTGGGACCATGTTTACGGGATTCAACGATGTTCTAGTTGCATACAGGTAAAAGGGAGTCTTACCTTTTCCCTTATCTTTTACCTGCTTTTTGTAACATAACAATAGTAAGGTCTTTTACCTGCTTTTTGTAACATAACAATGAGTAAGGTCTTTTACCTGCTTTTTGTAATGTTAACAGACAAAGAGTAAGGTATTTTACCTGCTTTTTGTAAAGTGTCTCGAGATAACACTTGTTATGAGTTGACGCTATACAAATAAAAATTGATTGATTGACCTATCTAATTCTTTATCCCTTTTTTTTTTATGTTTAATGCCATGTAAAGTGATCTATGGGATCTGGTTTTGCCCATGCCCCAGTTTTGCATAATCACTTCACAATGGATGGAGTGTTTAAATCAAAGATGAATAACACTTTAAAAATAGTGTGTCCTGCAGACTTCTGTTATAATATTTGAATATCAACAAAAGGGATTCTGACTCTTCTCATTCTGTTTGTGAAGCTCAAACTATCAGACTTTTTACTTCTTACCCGTACTGTGAACTGAAAGATACAATAATACATGTATGTATTCATCTTCTTTGTTTTTGTGTCATCTGTTTGTTTGAATTGTACTCTCAAGATTAAATAAGGTTGTATGAATAAATGAAAAATATCTGCATCCCCCCCCCCCCCCCCCCCCCCAAGGACTTCAATCTGTGATCCTTTGAATCTGCCATTTTTATTCACTTCTTAGTTCTTATCAAATCAAAATTAGTGAGCCTAATCCCGAAGCTGTCTTATTCAGTCTTTTTGTCAGTTCTAATTTTTATTTTATTGAAGAGTAGACCAATGCTGTTAATTCCTCCCCCTGCACAATGAACCTTAAAGGAATCCTAAATTGAAAACGAGCAGAGCCCTTACAAACTAGTTGGGTTAACCCCCTCCCTGGTGGCGGAACAACTTGCTGTGAAAGTATTTGTTAGGAAGCAGGGTGGAATTGATTTCTGGGGGAGCAAATGGGTTATCTTCACACTGATTGATTTTAGGCTGTATCTGAGGCGTTACAGACATGTGATGTGGGTATCGCTGTCGGGCTAAATCTACTCTAGATTAACAAAATAAACAACAACAACACATAAGATTCAGAGAAGCACCGCAGAAGACTAAACATTATTAATTAAGGGCTGTAGAAAGAAGATTGGATAAATTTGATTTCATATATTGGAGTTAGGCTTCAATAGTTATAAACAAAATTACCATAAAGTATCATCTTAACTAGACTGACAACCTCTTGATGTCCTCTCCTCTAAACCTCTCCTTTTGGTCTATTTCAAAAGCTTATACCAAATACTTTGAGAGTTACTGATAAGTTGTCAAATGTTCTTTTGCAGACAGGATGTTGCGGCTTCGCTGTAAAACCAAAAATGGGAGCCACATCATGCAGGGCTTGACTCATCAGTCCTGTGTGCAAGAGCTGAAGAGTAAGGTGGAGGAGCTGACAGGTATCCCGTGTGATGTGCAGAAAATAATGGTTGGTTATCCACCATCAAGCCTTGATCTTCGTAATGGAGACGCTCACCTTAAGGACTACCCCATCAAATCAGGTTTGTTTTTAAACTTCACATGTATGACGACAACATGAATTTAATTCACTCCACCATTATATTTAAAAAATGTATATGAGCCCCAAATGTAAGATGGTTTTAGGCTGCACAGTTAATTGAAAATTCATTGTCATTGAGGTATGAGTATTCATAATAAACATATAGTAAGAGTAAAGCCTCACTCAGCATGCATACAATTTACCTTTTGGATGGAGATCTGGGTATAATGACCATGCTTTCACACAATTATGATGCTCAAGCTAGTTATTTGTTAGCCTCAGATAAAATTTACAGATTTGGCAGTGAAAAATAATGCAATTCTTTGCAGTAGCCAATGGGGCACCCGCACTAGTACTTTAAGCGGGCGGTCCAGGTTCGAATCCAACCTGTGGCTTCTTTCCCACATGTCATAACCCACTCTCTCCCCCAGATTTCCCGCTCTATCCACTGCCCTATCTCTAAAATATATTTATATTGATATATTTCCAGCAATTTGAGTTAACAACTCAATAGCCACAGAAAGGGTCGATCCCCCCCCCCCCATCTCTGTCCCCCTTTTTCCAAACTCAGACCAGGCTGAACCGTGTTGTGTGACTGATGTGTCGTCCTCTACAGGAGACACGCTCATTGTTGAGGAAGAAAAGAATAAACCAAAGCCTCAGGATCATCCCACTGTGACTAAAACACCACGTCTGGAAGCCTCACCTGTACTGGCACGTCGGGTAGTCCCAGCTGACAACTCCTGCCTCTTCACCAGTGTGAATTATGTGGTGGAAGGGGGTGTCTATGAACCTTCATGTGCCCCTGAGATGCGAGGCCTCATCGCTCAGATTGTGTCCAGTAACCCCACAGCCTACTCCGAGGCGGTGCTGGGAAAGTCAAACGAAGAGTACTGCACGTGGATACGACGTGACGACACCTGGGGAGGAGCCATCGAGGTGTCAATCCTCTCAAAGTTTTACCAGTGTGAAATCTGCGTGGTGGACACTCAGACAGTGCGGGTTGATCGTTTTGGGGAGGACGCAGGCTACCACAAACGCGTGCTTCTCATCTACGATGGCATCCACTATGACCCTCTGCAGAAAGAAACGCCTGGCTCTGACGTCCCGCCCCAGACTATCTTCTCCTCTACGGACGACGTGATCCTGGCGCAGGCACTGGAGCTGGCAGATGAGGCTCGTCGCAAACGACAATTCACGGACGTTAACCGCTTTGCGCTACGCTGCATGGTGTGCCAGACCGGCCTGGTCGGACAGAAGGAAGCACGTGAGCACGCCAAGGAGACGGGCCACACCAATTTTGGAGAAGTGTGAATGTTGTTCTGTCTTTCCTCCTCTCACAAATACAAACACCGCCAACCCCGTGCCCCACATGTGGCTACTCTGTTGGTCTTTCTGTCAATCTGCTTGTGTGATCCTCTACCTCACATTGTCCAGCGACATCTACAGAGCATCTGCAGACACTGTGTTCAGCCTCTAGCCGGTTCAGTATTACGTACAGTATATACTGCTTTCAGTTCTCAAAGTCAGAAACACTACTGCAGAGCTCGGATGTTACAAAAACCATCACTTCAGTCTGTCAGGGATGGTTTAAAATACGTTAAACAGGGTCAAGTAAAATAACGCAAATAATTCTTAGGCGTTTGTTTTAATAAGTTTTGAATCTTCGATGTCTGGCTCAAAGCGATAATGAACCACGTGGTGACTGTAGGGCTGTATCCTGTTTGGACTTCATCAGTCGAGTTGAACTAGACTGATCTTACATGGAAGCTTTGACTATTTGTCCCAGTTAATTGCTGTACCAGATAGGGTTGTCACAAACCAGAATTTAAACTTTAATACAATACTAGTTAAAATCTAACAAATTCGATACCTGCTTTGATCTCACAGCAACAAAAATAGAAGTCTTTGGCACCTATAAAACAAATTCTATTTCTTGTTTAAATTATAACATTGCAAGCAAACTCATGCACAAATACCTTTGCAAAATATAATTTAAACACCCAGCTGATTAACTTCTGGGCAACTAAATCTACACCAGTAAATCATGAATTATCACCTAGTCATATACTCGAGATCTGTAGTTCTTTAAAAGCTCCAGTACTTTCCGGGAGTTTACATTGTTAATCACTAGGTATCAAAAAGTTTTGAGGCATTGATTATTTCAAAAACCTTGATTATAACGAACTGCAGTCGGACACAGAATCATGTCCCTGTAGTTTTTAACCTGATACAGTAATCACAAAGTTGTCACTGCTTACCTTTCACTGCCTAAACTTCAGTTTGATAAGCACTCACTATCTTGTGCTAGGAAGAATTTAAAACAAACACTAAGAATTATGTGCACTGCGAGGTGATCCTATTCACTGTTGTCTTAAATGCAGCACAGAGTTTGACTGTTATTCATCATGTCGGTTATGTAGCATGTTTTTTTTTTTTTTAAATGTCCGTTATTTGACTGGTGTATCACAGAGACTCTACCAGTACTAAAAGTTTATTTAACTCTAGATGTCTGAAGAGTTTGGCACAGTTGTGCTGTGTGAACACAAAGCTGGATTCATCTTTAAATGTGCTTTATGTGACATCTCTGTGAACTTGCTAAGGAGTCGCAGCTGAGATTGAGGTTAAGCATTTTAAAATATCATGTTACAAATTTCTTAATTACTTATGTTGGACTTTTTCCTTCTATTACTTTTTTTTTTTGATGTTGCTTCATGGTTTATTAATAAGCTGATTTTAAATAAGATAAAACTAATGGTGCTGAAAACATTTTACAAAATGAGTAGCTCTTTTTGTTCTTTATGAAACAAAAAGTTCAGGAGTGTCATTTTTAATTCTAGTGTTTACTTTTTAAATTTCATCTTGCTGTCAGAACAAACACTATTCACTTTGTTTTGCTGAATATCTGAAAAAACAGTAAAGCGTGCTGAGAGGTGTGTTTGAACACAAGTTATGGTAGAGATGATGTAACTAGAGAATTCTGCCTACTTCACGTACCGTAAAACTTCTTATAAAAGCCCATTCCAACTTAACGCCCACTCCCTTCTACTGGCCTGGTGCTGCTGCAAGTTTTAACAAATAAAGGCACATCTCAAAGAGAGGCCGCTGAGTATTTAGTGTTGATTAGTATGAGGATCAAAAATACATTTAGAGTGTCTCCGTCTCCCCCACACTGCAGCAGGTTGGGCTGGCTAATAAAGAGCAAATCAGTGATTTGAAAGTTTGTAAACATTTAGATATTCTTTCTGGTGGGAATTTACAAATGTATAGTCTTTCCCGTCTTCGCTGTGCACAAGTTTTGTTTGAAAATCATGAAAGGCCCGTCTCATATTGACGCCTGTCCTAAATAAAAAAGACCTAAAATTTTAAAAACTGATGTAAATAAATGCCCGGGCTATTAAATTAAAGCTTTACGGTATTTACTTTTCAGGTACACTTCATCGATTTTGTGTTTTGCTGGTCAGTATTATTAAGCATTAACTCTTCATATTTTCCTTCAGCACAAACGTAAAATCTATCAGGGTGATTCATCAATATCAAGGCAGAAAGTCCATTTTGGTTGAATTTACAGCATGTTGTCTTTTTAACACTGTACTGTATGTGTCGCACAATTGGAGCATGTTCTCACATTTTCAGGCTAACTTACTTTGATGATTCTTTTAAAAGTCACTGCTTATTATGAGATTAAAGGCATGCACTTGAAGCATGTTTTTTTTTTCTCTCCTTGAAGCCCAGTTTATTGAGGCCTCTTGTCATGTGTACCAGTATTTCCAATTTAACATATCTGCATCAGCCATATTGGTACTGAGTTTATGCCAAAATAACTGAGAGTAGAGGGTGTGATTGGTCTTTTGGTTTTGTAGATTCAGACTCAGAGATGGTGTTGGGACTTTGTTTAAGTGTGAATGGCTCTAATAATTTTTCCTTTTTTTATACTTTAGCTAGTTTCTTTCTTATTTTAACAGTGATTATTATGGATTTACAGCTTGCATACAAGTGAAACTATGAAATGGCTTTTGTTGTATTTTTGTGTCTACCAAGTTCTCATGGCTCTTCAAGGACAATAACAATGAATGTTGCACACAAAGCACTACAGGATAACTGGATTTACTTGAGTTTTTCAGTGTTGTGTCACAAATAAAGATTATAGAGGTATTCTGTATGAGTCATTTTGTATCAACTTTATTTAATTTATGTCTTTCTAAAGATGTTAATAGTTTGTTCCAGCTTATCATCCTGAGCACCCACATGAAATGATTATTAATAACCTCCAGTGACAATTCAAGGCCAGTGGAAATAAACCTGTGTTGCTTAAACAACACTGATGTGTGCCATCGTCAAGGGATTACACTCCCTTCATGTTATTTTAGGAAATGTCTGCCCCTCTTAATAGGATCTAAGATTTGTTTACTGGCTGTTTGACCAACTGTAGCAGCCAACACTGCCAGTGAAAGGAAGCCAATAGTACACGTAACATTTCCAGGTTAAATCAACGTGTTTTATAATCTACAGTAATGAAGGGTGTAGCTCATTGCTTCTTTATTATTGCCAACATTTACATTTTGTTTTAAAAATTCACTTGATTTGCATTAGTGCTTATTCTTAACACTAATTACATTCAGTTCATATCATTTTAAAGTCTCAGGTGAAATGAATACATGTCAGGACATCAATAAACCTACACACTGTTTGCATTATTTGTGTTGGTATGTGCTGCTTCTCCTGAGAGTAGCAAAGACTTGAGACTTTTATTTCTTGCTTGTTCCTTTGGAATTCAAAACTTTTTAATTGTCCGTTTAATTTTTTGGATGTAAAACATTCTGATATGTTTGCTGACGTGCCAATCAAACTTAATATGAACACGACGAGTCTCATGCACAACTGTCGATTTAACTTTTCTGATTTTCATTTAATAATTTAATGGGACATTTGGAGAAAACATGCTATTATTTCCTGCTTTCAGCTTCTCAATATGTGATACACATTTTAATATTCAGATTTTGGATCGTTTATCTGGTAAAACCTGCATTTGAATAATACGCATTTTCTGAAAATGTATGCACTTAGTCATTGATTCATTGAGAAATCTCTGCTCATTAGTCAATAACAAATGTAATAGTTTGCACCAGTTCCAACATTAACAGAGAATTGTCACAATGTCTTTATGTCTGCTACTTTTCCCGACCAAGATCTGGTTCCATTGAGCCTTCAGTTTGAATTGATCCTTTATCTAATTAGTTTTCAAACATGAGCATTAGGAATACTTAAACTTGCCATTATACAGGTACATTAACTGAAGTATTTTACTTTCATACATCAGATGTACCTTTTTCAGAAGTAAAGATTGTACTTTTAATCCATTGCCTGCTAAATTTATTTTTATTATAAAATGGCAAATATTTCATGAATATAGGCCTAACTTGTTTAATTATCTTCAGAGAAATATGTCGAAAGAGGTGTTAAAAGGTGACGCCACACGTATGCTGTTCTTAATACTGTTTACACTGGTTACTATAGCAACAAGCTCAGGTAAACTTAATGTCACATTTGAATGAATAAAAAACGTATCTAACATTAATCCGTTCATATTTCTCACGGTAATAACGAGGTATCTTTCGGTCACGAGCCTTATAACATAATGGAAGCTCGGCGCTGATTAGCAGATTACAGCAGTTGACGTTACCATGGCGACGCGCGTCTTTAGGTAGAATGCTGCTCTCTGATTGGCTAAAAAAGGTTGGAGCACAAAGTCCCTCATGCAGGTATCTTCTAGCCGCTCACTCACCGTCTTCACTTGAACAAGAAGCAGAAGATGGACAGCCGACTGAAGCAGGTAGATTAAAACAGGTATGTGGCCAACTATTACAGTTCATACCGATAATATCTTTGTAAATTAAATCTGCTTCAAGGTCGTTAAAGCACTTCTTTGACATTTTCTTTTTTACTATTAATACAAATGTTAAACTATTGCGCACATGACGTTAATGATATCAATCTATATCTCAAGATAAACTATGGTAATCTGAGTTTGGTAATAATTTTATTATTCAATAATTATGATAATCTCTTACATCACATTTGTGTGCAATATCATACAGATATAATATATTAGATTTAGTTCTTATTCTATATGAACTGCTTTTATTTATTTTTATATTTAATATTTGCAGTGTTTAGTTTGCTTTTATATTATTTGCAAACCACTTTTAGTTGTCTAACTGGACTGAGAGAAAAAGTGTAATTCTTGCACCACATCTTCTGATGAAGATGTTTTGTATATTTTATAGGGAATGCCTATATTGAATAGTACATTGGACATAGAGCATACATACTTAGGTAATCTAAAGGTAAGGGCTGGAAGGCCAGGTAAGAAGGGTTGAAATAAACATTTTAAAAAGTTGCATAATCTTAAAGCATAAAGGATAATAAAACATTTGTCAGTTGCTCTTTTATAAACAAAGCAAAAGCTGCAACTGTGTCATTGGACCGAAGATACAGTTACATTTATTACCTCGACCTCTGATTCACAGTTCTGTTGAATCTATAAAATAGGTCTGTGTTTGTGGCAGTTACTCCTGTATAGATAGGTGTATCTATATAGAGATAACATTATGATACATTTTTAGCAGCGTTTAAGATGTTCTCTACCTCTACCAGAGTTAATGACTAACTAATGTCCTTTTTGTCCGAGCTTTATATTAGGAAAATGAGAAAGCGAAAGTCAAACCACACACTTGACAATGCAGGACAAAATACTTGATACTAAGCAAAAGGGAAATTTGAAATATTAAATTCTGCAAAGTGTTTCAATGACCGGCAGGCCACAGCAGCTGCTTTTGTTACTTGCATGATCTGCAACCCAGATTGTGTCACATTAAAAGACAATAAATGTTATGTCAGAGTTTACTCTTAAGATTTCCACGCTGACCTGCGTGCAGTGGGGTCATTTCCTAGGTTTATCAGGTGATAGAGGCTTTAAAATTTTACAGGGATGGAATAACACAGCAAAGCATGAACAGTGAACAGGAGTGCTTTTGTGCTTCTCGACCTGGTTCCCTGTCCTTGCCTTTCAGGCGTTGAAACTTATCCAAAAGAGGGGAAAACAGACATTCTTTCACTCACATCAAACAGAGGTTTCTTTATACTTAACCTCATGCTCCATTTCTACAATTACAGTAGAAAACTATGATGCATTATCCTCTGCTTTGGTAGATGGCAACATCAGGAAGATTCTTGAAAATGTTCTTTAATTTTACTAAATGTCATTTATCTGAAGGAATCTTTAAATATCTTTCAGTGAAGAAAAGTGCTAACAGTTATTGTTTTAAATATTATACATCTAAATTGTCTGACAACGTGGTCAAATTAGATATATCACGTAGCATTCAGGTGATGGATTCTGCTGCCCTCCACTCCCTCTGAAACTGATCCCGGTTGAGAAGATTAGGAGTGGCATGTGTGCTGTAATCTGAGTCACATGTAGTGAGGACGACTAGTTAGATATCTTTCAGGAGCTGACTAAGGTACGATAGCTGATCATCCTTCTGAGAACGAGGCTGTTCATTCATCAGAGAGCTCATGAGCATGTATCATACACCACATGGTTACATAGGATGCTACGTGTGAGAGTGAGCAATTTAGAAACATAATAAAAACTAGCTTGACGAGTCATATATTGTCTGTCTATGTAAACAAATCCAGTTTGAAAAGACCATTGTGGTTATTTGGAAAATTTACTGAATATAATAGAAACCCTTTACATTCTTGTTAACTATGGTTGCAAAGATATCAAGTTGTGAGCATGGATCGTAACAAAGACCTGTCAGAAACGTAGATGACTATAGATGACTGTATAGGTATATACGATCAAAAGTAATACATCACTTTTTAGGAGTGTTTTCACAATTTTAAAATTTTAAGTTTCTGCTCTGGTATAACTTTAGCTGAATAAATGGAAGAGGAGATATCAGCACACCAATAAAACTGGGCCACTAAAAAGTCCACAGGCTAAATGACACAATAGTCTACTTTTGCATAGCATTGTGGCTTTTTTATCCCCGTCAAATTACTATTCAAGTATCTCTTCTGCCATTTCTTCCGCTGCGTTCCTTACCCTGGAAGTGCATACAAAAATATTTTGTCTTAAATAAAAAATATATATATATACATGGTTCTTTAAAAAGGTAGAATGATTGAAGATTACATTTTAAAATCTACAAAATAATGCAAATATGAACTTTAGCATAATTAAGTGTAGTTTATTTGAAGGAAAGAGCAAATGGAAAAAACATAATCCCAAATTGAGCAAACGTCTTTTTTATGGAAGTTTATGGAAAAGTTTTATGGAAGTTAAGTACTCCCGAAAAAAAGAAAAACAAAAGCAGGGCATGCAGTAGTAAGCAGCCCAACACTGCCAACCACTATGTTAAGTAGAGGCTAAAAATATTTAAATCCTTGGTTGACATAACTCTGAGTTATCTTTGCATGTTGGAAATAGTATAGATGTAATCCTGAGCTAATAGTGAACACAGATGAGCCTGATCTGTCTGATCTGTCTGTGCTGATCACTGTTCAAAAACAAAGCTTACTTGACTCCAAGCCATGCGGTTGATTTTGATCTGTCATTTATTTATAGGGAGTCCATTTATAGAGGAAGCCAAACTTTATTTGAAGCTGAAAGATTTTCCTGTGGCAAAAGATTGGAGATTAGCAGTTGTCAACGGTCTGTTAAAGCATCCTCAATGTTTCTAAAATTTCAGAAAATTCTGAAGAGTCTAATTAAACTTATTGTATAGTCTTGAAATGCTGAGTAAGGTTTTTGTTTACCCCTTACCATAGCTCTGTTTCCTAGTGCTAACCTTCTGTTGCAGTGCCAGTTTCTAATCAGCATAAAGGGTATCCAACTTCCGAATATTTGAGGTTGTGTGCACAAACTTTAGGTACGCAGTTGTGATATTTTGATGGCTTTTCCATAGACATTTTCATTATTTAGAAATCCACCAACTACAACAACTCCATCAGTAAGAGTTTAAGTAAACAGACAAACTAACCCATTTGACTTATTTGTGTATTCTCTTCACAGATTGAAACAGAACATTTGTTCCCAACTCTTGGACAAGCAGGACCCCAAGATGCCTAAAAGTGATACCTGGCCAGGTGGCTTTGGATTGGAGACGATGAATGGCATGGACAGTGCTGGAAGCTGTGACAGCGTAGTCAGCGCCAACTCTGGCTTTGTAAGTAACTGACCTTACCCTGGTGAACTGGAGAATCCTATGAGTCCTACTTTAGGGACATCTCATTGTAGATTTTTTTTGTCTAATAGAGCCTACTTTGATGTATTTCAGAGTGATGATAGTATGGAGCACCTGTCTGCTGAAGAGAAGGCCTGTCTCATGTTTTTGGAGGAGACGATTGAGTCTTTGGACACCGAGGAAGACAGTGGACTCTCCAATGATGAACCTGACCAACTGCCCATTGCTGGCAACCTTGCAACCAAAGTGGCCGACCTCTCAGCCTCCATGAACAAAAACAAGCTCAAGAGTGAGTTAATCCCTGGGCACTAATGTAGAATTAGCTTAACAATAGTCAATTAAATGCTTTGTAGAGAGGTAAGTTTCTAGACATAAACAGGTGCTTGTTTGTCTTTCAGATTCTCCTAAACATGCCTATGAAGAACCCGTAAAGGAAAACGGTGACGTCAAACCCATGCAGCGCTATCTGGTTCCTACACCTCTTGTTGTGGCAAGCAGCTCTCCATGTACTGTACCCATTGCTAATCCAGGTGTCCCCACAGACAGAAAATTTACCTCTAAGGCTCAGGTCACTCCTACAAGTAAAGAACTTGGTCACCAGCACATTCAGCAAGTTGCTCAGCAAGTACCTTTGGAGGTTAATGTTGTGATATCTCCTCCCACCAAACCCAGGGACTACCCAGTTAAGACCGCTGAAGCTCCTTTACCTAGAGGTCCTCTGTCTTATGAGGCACTATTTTACCTTCGAAGGAGTGCCTCAACAAAGAAGACACCATTATGTCCCACAATTGATCATACTATCGAATCAGACAAGCGACTTCCTGTCACAGTGGAAAGCCAAAACCTCTGTAACCCTCCAAAGTCCGTCAGATTCCACCCGGAGGTTTCTATATCTAAGATGAGTCCTCCAGTTGTGGCCCCGAAACCCAAAAAGATTCCTGCCAACATATGTGTGAAAACACAAAAAGAAGCATCCATTAAAGTCTCATCATACAACAGCAAACATGTAACAGATCCCAAGGTTGTGAGACAGGAAGCTTTGCAGAAACTGGGCTTACTAAAAGACCAAGAGCCAGAAAATCACACAGCAGCAACTTTGTCTCCCCCTGAATCTCTCTCTTCTTTAGATAGAACATCTGATGGATTGACAAAAGGTCCGTCCTATGGTAACCCATCAAGAAGCCCATCGTTTTGTCATTCTCAAGTGCGAGCAGAGCCCAAGGCCAAGCCTTTACAGAGCAGTGCCAGTTTCCATCACTACTCCAGACAAGAACAACAGCCTGTGTTTGTCTCAAATCCAACCCAATCCAATGGAGTGAAGCCAGAGAGGCTGGGGCGCTCAAATACATTGGACAACCACAGAAGTGGTGGAAACTGTACTGAACTGCAACACAATACAGCCACCAAGCCTGTTAACGCCACCGCAACTCAGCCTGCACCCAACAAGCCATCAAACACAGTCCCATATACCGTGATGGTGGTGCCTGGAATGGGAGCTGATCGAAGGGAAGCACTCAGAAAGCTTGGACTGCTCAAAATCTAAACAGAGAAACAGCAGAAGTAGGCCTGCTGAGAAAGAGCTTAAGCGTACCATCAGCTTAAGAGTTGGAGTGTTAAGTGGGGACTTGGCACGCTGCACGTTAGTTAACTAAAGCAGAAGATGATGACAACGAAGTGAATTACAAGTGCTGGCAATACCAGCAGGTATGCAGGTCATGGTTACTTGCATGTATGAGGGCAGGTTTTTCAAACCGCTGTTCCTCTGAAGGAGGAGTTATCAGATGGGAACACACAATACCATACTATAACATCACAATTCAGCAATGTAAGTGATAATTCATACATTGGAATCATCATATCTGATTAATTGAAGAATATGAAATGCCCCTAAACAGGTTAATAAATGTACGGCATAAATGTATTTGTTCTCTCGAGTTTGGTGTCAGTTTTACCTCTTATCAAGCTCCATCTCTTAACTTGACATTCTCTGAAGTCATCTGCTATTGTCTAACAAAGTAAAAATGATAAAGCTTCTTGGAAAAACAGCACATTTTTTAGGACTTTTGGTGTAGCTATTCAGAAAGCCATTAAGTGAATGTGAGGCCAAAATGTCCAGTGCTGCCTGTTTATATATGGATTAAAGAAAAAACACGAAAACAACTTTAGATGATAGTCTATGGGTTATAGCTAAAGCAGTTGGCCTCTCTTACTCTCTGCACCAACTGTTTTTCTGCAGACATCAAAAGCCTACTGAAATGCATATCATTACTATGTGGACTACAAACAGAAACAAGAATACTGTGGATACCAAATAGACTCCCACATCAATGCACTGATCGTAAAGAAAAGAAAATAACGTAACAAGCTATACTTCAACTTAAAGGGAACACCAACCCAAATAAACAATGTTTTCGCTTGAAGCGTTTTCTCATCTGAACTCTGGGCACTGTCCGGACTTGCCCTTTCCAACAACCAGCTCACAGCAAGAGATTATCAACGTCTGACGCACTCTGATCTACTGGATATTCTCATGAAGGTCGTCTGGACATCTGGGTAGAAAGTGCAAAAGGAGAAGGACTCATCTGTCATTGGTATCGCAATATCATGTATTTGGACATATCCACAAGATCAATATAGGACTGGAGGCAATATACAAAAAAGAAAATGAAGTCGGGAAACCCAAGGTGAACAACATCAACAACCTGCCCAATTGCTTTGGACAGTTATCGGCTACCTTTACACATTGGCACCCATGGACATTTCACAGACTGTACACAAGGGGACTGTGAAGAAAGTGGTTCAGACATTTGTGTTCTAACATGCTGACATGTCCAGTATAAAAAGGGCTTTATTGTTTCTGATTGTTTCTTTGTTCACGGATGTGCCTGTTGGTGGATTGTTTAGCACTTTCCTTCTTGTCTTTGAAAAAAAAGTCAATGCAGCTTGTAATTATTGTAAAATTTAAGTGTTTTTGGATTTCCCAGTTTAAAAAAAAAATCTCAAGTAACTATGAATGAATAATATCTCTTGTTTGACAGATTCACTGATTTGTTTCTGCAGATATTTTATACAGCTGTTATGGTGGTTTGCAAAATATGTAAATAAATTTAAAAAAAACCTGCCTTCCTTCATTATCTGAATACTGGGAATAATAACCTGGAATGACAATCAAAGACAATGATTATTTTTTACCCACTTAAAAAAAAATCCTCAAATTCATGTGAAAATAACGAAGTTTGGATTTTTGAAATGTGATTAAAATGAGCTCTTAAACGTTTGCCTTTCTAGTCTGAGCTGTTCAATAGCATTGCCACAGAGTTAGTATGGCACAAAGAAACAAAGGGCCTTCAGTCAGAACATCATCCCTATAAAACCTGCGCCATCCAACCCTCCACTTAGTTATACTACTCGTCTTACAATCCACTCCAGCAATGAGAAAACCTGCTCGGCTGTTCTTCCATTATCCGATTATCTTGAGCCCTACCTCCGTGTGAACTTAGAGGACCAGTGTTTTCCTCTCCGTTTTCTCCACAACCCTTTGCATGCAGGACTTCTAATTCCTCTCACTGACTTAGCTGAACTGTTATTTAATGGCTAACGTTATGCAACAGTGTCAGAGTAGCTGAATTAGTGCGTGGTTGATTATTGTAAGAGACGATTACAGTTGCCCTCGGTAGTGTTCTCACTCGATGAGGCAGGAAGCTTGCCTAATGGGCTGGTATCTGTGTCTAGTATGTCTGTGCACAGGCGAATAAAGGGTGTCAAATTTTGAAACTGACACGGCTCTCTGCCGGTCAAGTAGTAATGAACAATGGATGAAGAAATCAGGCCAGAGCCAAAATTGGAAATGTGATACTCGGACAGAAAAGTGAGCTGTAGAAAGGATTGAGTTCATCAGTAGAGAAACAAATGCATCCACGTGTTTCAGATTTTGCAAAAAAACAAAACATTGACTTAATTATCTGCATAAACTCTTCCATAAGATTATTTGATTTGAAATGTAGTCTGTGAATCATTTTTGATAATGGAATAAACATTGTCCTTTTGCACAGACTTGTGTATGGCTATATTAAACACATAAAAAATTATCTTGACGACCCAGGAGATCACGGGTAACATGAGATATCCTCTGACTACTGTCAACACTGCTGCGTAGACGACAGCTCCCCCTACCTATTTGTGAATAATCAGGTTGCTCAGTTTGTTTTATTTTCTAAGACTTCAAATTGTTCTGGGATTAGCTCCTCTTCATGTCTGTCCTTAAACACTCTAAACATGCCACGTTTAAATGGCTTTTGTTTAAATGAAATCAAAAAGTGGGATAAGTCAATTTGATCTTTTTAATTTAGCAGATGTCAAAAACAGAACTGGTTAAATAGTGATTTACATTAAGCAGCAGTGAAATACATTAGAAGTGAAATATTAGAGTAGCTGGACTTTGAGTCTCACAGTGCAGGAATCATAGGGACAGTGCAAAAATGAAGGTAGTTTTATACTGTAGGTAGTATTCTTTTGAAAATAAGCATTGAAAAACAAAAAACATAATGTCCGACAAAAGGTTCATAGTGTTTTCATATATGGCGAAAGAAAGCCTGAAGTTGAATAACTTACCGTTAGCATTTTGTGTTCAACAGAAGGGTATAAAAACTTTGAGTCAATGGACAACAATGAGATGAGTAAAGAGTGTGTGGGAATGGGAATTTACAGTCTGTTTACTAAATCCCCTCACTGTAGATGTGAGATTTGCTCTTCTTGCGCTTCCCCTTACCGATGGACCCCTGGGCTGTCAACGACTCAAGGCGGAAAGGGCGTGGAAACACGGAGTCAGAGCTTACAGGTGGGTTCGTAGTGGAACCACTCACAGTGAGGTGGGCCGCCCCATTAACCAATGGAGGAGAGCGGACGGCTGCAGGACAAGAGCTCCATCAGCGGGGTCAAATGTAAAAGGCATTGTTACTTTTGTAAAAGTCTTCTCAATTAAAGAGCTTGTTAGTACAAGCACTGGAAATTAAATCCTTTGTATAAGATTTTTAGATCATTATTTTGCAACCATCGATGGTTTGGATTTTTTTAAACAAATGACAGTGCTTTAAAATACTGTAAACCTTCTCCTGGGTAAACATGACATGTCCCATATGTGCTAATTCTTTTGAGCTGATGAACACTGACAAAACTGACACATCTGGATCTAACCAAAGACCAAAAACTCACAGAGATGAACGACAACAACATGCACATTCATTACTGTAAATGACATTCTCAAATAGAGATATTAGCTAATTAAACAGTTTGTACTCAGTCATTTGTTGTCTTTAACATCTCAGATTACTTAGTGATTTGTGGATCAGCATGCAGGTCCTGGTCTTACCGTGAACCTTGGTTTCAACTCCAAGCAGTTGGCTCGCTCTCTTTGACTTGAAGTAGCTGCTGGCGATGTTTTCACTTGCACTACGGTTCAGCATTTCCTTATATCTGTCCTCCTCCACCTACAAAAATCCCCACAGTGTTACGGTTCTGTGCTGTTGTATCAGTGTGTGTGAGCAAAAGAATTAGCATGTCACAAAAACACACCATAAGTGGCTCTCCAGAATCCGCAGCTGAACCTCTGCATGCTGAAGGTTTCGGAGCCACTGCTGTGTTAGAAAAAGAGAGAAATCAGATATTTGAGTAAGAATCCTCAAACACAAATGTGACTTTCACTTTAGATCTATTTCTATAGGCCCTATTCACCTGAAGGCAGGGATGTTTTCTGCACCATCACATCTGGCAGCCTCCAGGTGGTGCCGTCCTCGTCCCAGACAGCTTCTTTCTTCAAGCGGTCCAAGTTGCTGTAGTTGCAGTCTCGACGCACCAGGGGCACCGTTCGCTCCAGCAGGCTGTGCAGTAACTGACCCTCCCTCTCCAGACGCCGGATGGTTGCAAGGTAGTCGTTCCTCTCCACCTCGAACTCTGCCTGCAGGTCACGTATCTCCAGTTTGGCTGCTTTCAGCTGCAACAACAGATGAATGCACTTAGATGGTTAAATAGCAAAGCATATTAATTCAGGGATGAAAGCTTAGACATGCGGCAGTTGTCTTGCATTATCCAGCATCATTTGGTAAACCAGGTTGTGGTCTCTCTTTGTAAATTGAAAAAATAAATAAATTAATTACTGTCATTTTAGTTCCACATTAAATGTTTAGTAAAAATGTATGTTTATATTTTACTCCTGGTGTTTGATTTGTCTAATTTTACTTATTTTGTTTCTTTTTTCTAAAAATGTAATTGCTGCCTTTTTCAGCCTTGCAAAATGTGATGCTTAGTTGTTAATTTATGTGTTTCTTGGACAGATCTGCTGAACAGATTATACTTCCAGTCATTATTGTGTTGACGAGCACCATCTTGAACCCATAAAGATGGTTTAGTTTGTCCTATAGCCTCTGTGACCCACCTTCCCCTGGACCTTGACCAGCATTTGGCTTTTTGCGTGGACCTCCTCCTGGATGGAGTTGTAGACGTTCAGCAGCACATTTTCGCTCTCCTCACTGTTCTCTGACAGAGCGTGGATAAGACTGACTTTCCTCTGGTCGGCCAGGTTCTTCCTCTGACGCTGTCTCTGCTGGAGCTCCTTGTTCCTGGCCTGCTCGCCTCCGACCACCTCCTGCTCCAGCTGATGCAGTCTACAGAGAGGTGAATGAAACGGAACAATGGTTGGAGATCACAAACTATTCAAATAATACGATAGAGGACGGATTAGCTGCTCAATGCCCTATTAGAATCATCATGAAATGGATTGCATATGCAAATTTTTTTAAATGAAATTCTACTTTTATACCTTTAAAAAAGTTTTAATAATATGCAGTAACTTCCTCATAATCATAAGTAGATAGCAAGAAATGGATCAAGCTATGGTCCCAGTCCTAGTGAATGAGGTTTCATTATAAAGGGTAGAAGTAAAAAAAATATATGGATGTATCAGTCGATAATCCTTAACTAACAAAAATAAATTTGTATGGTGTTCCCGTCTTTTTTTGTTGCAGTAAATGTTGGCTGGATACAAACAAAAAGCATGCTGAGAGAAAGTGCGAGCAAATCTGATGATTGATTAAGTATGTAAAAGGTGTTCCCACAAACCTCTCCAGGGCGTGTTTCTGGTCCAGAGGCCCTGCAGAAGTGACGTCAGGGGAGTCGACGAGCACGTCCCCGTCCAGACATTTTTGGACACCGACTGCTGCACACGGTACATCCTGCTTGATCACCAACATGAGGAAAGAATATCAAATACGGTTCTTGTAAGTCTATAATTGCATTTGTGGAACCATCATTATGTAACTTTTGCATTTTTTAATGATAAGGTGTAATGGTTGAGGAAGCTAGTAAAAGAATACCTCAGTAATGGAAGTCTCTACATGGACACTGGGACCCAGTGAGTCAGTGTTTTGGCCGAGCTCCTCGTCAGCCACTTGTGTTATAGAACTAGAGCTCACAGATGCTGGGAGGCAACATAATCAAGAGCAGTGTTATTGTACAAGGGATGGACACACTATAACAACAGCTGTTGATACACAGTGCAGCCATATACAACAACCTTCTAAATGTTTTTTTTTCCCTTCAGATTTTGTCAGGTGTTTTGATATGATTGTACTTTCAGGCAGATTGACTTGCACCAAACAAATTGAAGAAACCCTTACATTGTTCCTTCTTGGGGGCTGGTGATTTTCCATCCTTTAGAACAGAGCTCCCCCTGCTGGCTGCGTTCTTCTCCAGGTTGCACAGCTTGGATTCATAAGAGAAGCGCAGGGCAGTGATGTCCTCCTGCAGCTTGGCCTTGGATTCCTGTTCTGCATTGTACTCAGCCTGCAACTTGGCCAGCCTCTCTTCGTACTCCTGCAGAGACAGCAGAATACAGACCCATAAATCACCTGTTCGTTGTACAGTGCATGTGGAGATGTGAAATGATATACGAGTGTGGGAGAAGCTAGTAGTTGCCTCTTTAATCTTGTCCTTCTCTGCTTCTGGGGTGCTGGACTGTGGCTTTGAAGGAACTGCTGAGGGTTTCTCAGAAGACTGAGCAGCCAGAAGAGCTGCATGATCAAATTATAATGAAAAGAAAAAAGGAGCTTTTTAGTTTTTATCAAGACTGAGAACAAAAATGGTATGACAAAGAAGAGAATGAAACAACTCTCAATCCTTGTATATAAATCCTTCACATTAAAATATGATTTTTCACTTATATTTTAAAGGTAAGAAACAATATATTCCATTACATGCAAGGTTAGCAGTGCCTAGCTGGCCTGAGACGAGGGCCCTCAGCTTCCTGATCTCCTCCTGATACTCTCGCAGCAGAGCATCCTTGGGGTCCTCATTGATCCGCGGCCTGTTCTGGATGCTCTTTGCACGGTTAGCGTAGCGCAGTGTGCTCAGGCTTTCCTCGTAGTTGTTGTCTGCGGGCGACAGACAGGCGATCATCAGGGTGCGCGTGTTTCCTCCCAGAGAGTCCTGCAGCAGCCGGGTCAGCTTGGAGTCCCGGTAGGGGATGTATTTGGAGCGTCCGTCCACCAGCGCAGAGATGACGTTACCCAGGGCCGAGAGGGAGAGGTTGATCTTGGTGGCCTCGCGGAGTCTCTCACCAGTAGCACCGGTTTTAGACTGGCGCTCACTTCCTGCCAGGTCGACAAGGTTCAGCTTTCCAGCTCGTAGATGATCCTGGCCTGCTGCATCTGGAAATGTTGAGAAAACACAGTGGATTCAGTTGGAATACGTTCAAGTTTTTATCTGAATTTACATTAAGCAAAGAATCCCCCATGAAATACTAAAAGTAGATATTGGTGATGTTTCTCAGTCAATTATCATATTTTTGGTACGACTTTTATTACTTCCATGTAAATTATCCTTATTGTGTTTTTGTTATTGTAAGTTGGTTGGTGCATAGAAGAGATATCACATTAAAAAAAAACCCTCTTCAAACCCACAGCGGAGAATATCTAATAACAGAGGATGAAAGTGTTATTTAATCAGTTCTAACAGGGTCTAATGCTCCTAAAACAACTTATGCAGACAACAATGCCTTAATCACACATCAAACAGATTTGAACCAACAACTTGTTTGAGGTATTGTGTGTGTGTTTGCGTTCACCAGTGCTGCAGATCTCCAGGTGGATGGAGAAGATGGAGTGTGAGCGGGAGGAGTCTTTGTTCATCAGCGTGTAGCCCACTGCCCGGTTCCTCCAGCCTTGCTCTACGATCTTCTCACACTCCCCCACACTGTGCACAGTGTGCATGGAGAGATCCCGCACATACACCCCACGCTCTGGATGCTCCTTCAGCTAAAGCATTTATCAAACACACACACAATCAAAGTCTGTCACCTTGTTCAAACACCTTAACCTTCGAGGACTCATATGCTACTGTGCTTTAGTCACCATGGAAGCTTCTGCAGCAGTATGCACAAAGCTTGAGCGAAATGTTCACCGTGGAAGAGTAGTCTTGAAACAGGTTTAATAATGATTGTGCTTAAAAACGAACAATAATCATTTTGACTTCCAATGTAACACCTATACAGACCTATACAGATATTGATTTTTGTATTTTCGTTTGCTAAACATTTGTTTCTACCTTGTCTGAACAACTTTTCATATCAACACATATTGGAAAACTTGTTTGACAACAATGATACATCTGTGATAAGCCAATATCAGGTCGACGATATTTGCCAACAACAATATTAGGTAAGGCTTTAAATTAAACAAAACACACTTACCTCCAATCTCTGTTTGGTGTCACTTCCCAAAAGGTCTCGGATTTCTTCATTGTAAATCTCAAGGTAGGATGCCCTCACCAGGAATTTTGTGTTTTCTGCACACTAGCTTACCCACAAAAAAACAAACACATTATATAACTTACTTTGAGGGTAGACACTTAATAATAATCCTGGACAAAGACTGAAACCACAAGACTAAATCGGGTGTGCATGGTGCTCCAGAAGAGTTTTAAATAAAGTTTCTAATGCACTCTTTTAATGAACTGAATTACTTTAAAAGATGAATGAAGTTAACAGCAGTAGCCCAGCATACCTGAATACTCTCAAATATGTGTTCAAATGCACGTGGAATGACTCCCCTCTGGGCTGCAGGATCCACCACCCCCTGCATGGTGAAAGATTTCCCACTTCCAGTTTGACCATAGGCAAAAATTGTGCCATTGTATCCCTCAGTGACACCCTGTGCAAAGAGAAAAGTTTCATGTTATCTTTTGCATAAGGCTACTGTAAACACCCTGCTGACCATTTAAAGTGACTGACAGCAGACCGATAAGTAAATAATGAGGTCTGCAGGCTATCGCAATAAGATATGTTGTTGGTCTGGGGGTGTCCAGTGACCAGAAGGCGACTTGGAATGCCTCGATCTCCATACATTAGATGTGAATGGGCACTGAAAACAAAAATAACAGAAACAAAACTAGTCCAGGAGCTTACCTCAACCAAAGGATAGGCAATCTCGTTGTACATCTGCTCAGTGGTTTGATCCATGAAGTAAGTCCCATCAAAGGTGAACTGCTTCGGTGGCTCATCCACTACACCTGGCTTCTCTATGAAGCACTGGCAGCGGTGCAGGTCCATGGACAGCACCATGTTAGAGCAGAGAGCCTTCTCCCTGTCATTCAGCGGCCTACACCTCACCACCACCTTCACAGACTCTGACCCCATGACTCAACAATCACTCCTCGACATTATTTGCAATAGAAAAAACTAAAAAAAAAAAAAAAAAAAGGGGGGGGGGGTAGTTAAATTCTGCTTAACAAATGTGTTACTTCAGAGCAGACATAGAGCTGCATCCTCATTTTACTCACCTTCATAGTCAGATAGCAAACAGCTAACAGGTCACATTCCGGTTAAACTCCAAAGAAAAGCAACAAGAGGATTTCAAACACCAGCAAGCTAATATAAATTTACTTTAAATAGAGCCACAAATTATTTCCCACACACGGTTGTGCTTCTCTTCAGGTGTCTTTGCAACCTGCCATTCTGCTCTTCCTCGCATGGCGGTTTCTAGGTTGCTTAGCAACTGTAAACAACCGCTGAAGGGATGACCATTAAAAGCTGAAACGTCCACAGCCCGGTCGCCATCTTGATGAGGAGTGAGTGAGGTCGAAACCAGTGACTTCAGTTCCATTCAATCATTTACAGAACAATGTGAAAATATATAAAGGTTTGTATTAAGTTTTCTACTATCAGCGAGAACAAAACCGTCACCTCCAGGGTTATGTTGTAATGTAGTGTATCTTCATCTTTCTTCAAGACTGTTTCCATAGTGACAGCCTCCATCCACAGGTCCAGCAAAACTTGAGGTTGTGAGGTATGCCAATTATTTCGCATCTAAAATTTGAATTTGGACCTAATATTTACAGTCTATGGACCTACTACATAGGCATACTTATTTTTTTAAATGGGACTGGGATATTTCGTCCTGCTTGTCTTAACATCCAGCTTGACAGGAGAGCTACTGTACTGTAAAATAAGCTACTTTAACTAAACTAACATAACATAGAGTTGTGCACAGGATTATGTTTTTTTTTTTTTCCTGCTAGGAGTAAGTGACTGAGTAAATGTATTTATTTAATTTCAATCTTAATTGTATTTCTCTTTTGATGCTCTAAAAGTTCCTAATGTCATTTTTTTTTTTTTGCTTTGTAAAGCACTTTGGAGTAGCCTACTTACTTTTGAAGTCAGTGTGACTAAGAATTCACTTAGCTGATCCATAATTATGGCATCTGTAGATGTGGGAAAAATACTTGAGACTACTACTTGAGACTTGTGGTTCTCAACTGGTGGGTAGGGACCCAAAAATAGGTTGCAGAGCTGTTTTTAGTGGGTTGGGAAAATGTGCCCGCAAAAAAGTAGTGCCAACAAGTCTACGAAGCACCTTTTAACTTAGGGTGATTGTTTGGTTTCTTTGTTCTGTCACCAAACTGCACAATTTTACATTAAATAAATCTTGATTGTTTGAAACCTTTTGGAAATTGATTAGGTCGAGATTTTTCATGAAGGAGTTGATGGTGGGTCCTTGGCTAGACCAGTGGAGAACCAGTGACTTAGACCACATGGAAAACGACGTCCTCCAAATAATTATAATAATAATAATTTTCAGAAATCTCCTATGAACCTTTCCACATATCAAACAATCCCATTAAAACCTGCATTTGACACACTTACGAGGTATCTTCTTCCTGTACCAAAGCTGCTGTGAGGTGTTGCTCTTCAGAGTCAAAGAGGACATGAAACAATTGAAGCAGGGTGGGGTTTCACTCACCTGTCATTTAATCTCAAACAGGGACGAACGACATTGAAAATATCAAGTTGGCCTCATATGAAAGAGACAAGTGCTCAAATAAAAACAGGTAATGCAGCCTTTTGGACAAGACAAAAAAAAAACATGTCACTGACAGTCACATGATAAAACAAATCCCAGGGGGTGGGACCAGAATTCAAACAGCAGCTATAATCAGGCATATTGAACTGCATAATATATTTCCAGTAATTTAAGAGTGTGAGTTTGACTGCAAACCTTTCAACACAGCCAAGCTTTCCCCCTTTTTATAGGCCATGTCATTAACGCACTAATAGTAAAGTGACAAGTTCTAAAATATCACAGCGCTGATCCTGTATTACAGCTCAGACTTTCTCCTGGTCTATACCCTTTATGTCTTACACACTAAGAGTAACAAATAAGAGAGATTAAAAAGCTATATTACTACACAATTTAAGAAAATATAACTCTCATGTTTACAATGCAAGAATAATAAAAGAAGAGTCACCACTTTGCTATCGGGTACAAAGACCTGTGAGATCATTTACACCCTTGCACTCTCTCTTTCAGGTTCTTGCTTGTCGTAAAAAACACAAATATATTCTGAGGCCTTGAAGGCACAAAAAAAAAAACCCACATTATTAAAAAGTTATATTTAAAATACAAAAGCAGCCAGGACAAAAGATAACATCTTTGAAGAATACATACCCTTTGACAAAATGACTTGTAAACTATTTACATGAAGTGCCTGTTATTAGTTTTCATGGTGTTATACAAATAGCAAAGCAGCCCAAAACACCACAAGTGATCATGAAACAAGATATGTGCAAAAGAACAAAGAAAGTGTCACTTGGTTTGGATTCTCTGACGTTGGCAGTTCCACAGTCTTGGATCTAAACCCATTCCTTCCTGTGGGTACTTTTGCCTTTGGCTTTGTGCAGGCTCTTGTACGGCTTCACGGCCTGCTGTTTGTTGGTATTTTCCTCCCACTCATAGCAGTGGTTAACCCGGGCGCAGCTCAGCAGACACTGCAGCTCGCCCTGATACTCTGTGTAGTGTTCGATCATTTCTGCTATCGAACTGAATTCAGTCTTACATTTCTGCAACAAAGAGAAACGAAAGAGAATAAAAAAAATACTGTACATCCAGGTAACACAGATGTATCCATTTCTGTACTTGTACATTTATTTCATAATTGTTTGTTTGAGTGGGATTTCTCACTCTTAATTTGACCCAATACTTACTATTTTATAGCTTTTCAATTTAAATTATTTTCGCCCTCCTCAATTTCCGCAGACATTCAAATCCAACACTGCAAAACTTTTGTTGAGATTTACTGATGTTTATTTAAATTCTAGTCGAGATCTGAGCTTTTCTAAAGATATCTGTAGAGAAATACTCGTATATTAACTAGAGTAAAAGAGCAACTAGTCAATCATATATTGCTGGGGAGTTAACCATTTCCTGTGTCATTAGGGAAACATTAATCAGCTGTTTGCTGTTAATATTCAAATGACGCTGACAACACAATTACCTCCAGCAGGAACTTCCCTTTGCGAGTGTTTCCTATGAGGTAGGTGATCAGGCCGGAGGGCAATCGAATGATAAGAGAGCCACATTTGGGTTTCTTAGGATGTGGGCATAGGAGATATGATCCCAGAACATCTTCCGCAAGCAGGGCATAGCTGCTGTCACTAAAACACAGAATACGTACCATTAGACACTGAGATGCAACAAGAGAGAGGGAAGGTTTCTTTGGTGGGCAAGACAAAAGAAATGTAGAAATGACACTTGCGTTGCGATACCATCCCAACACCACACTGCCTGAGTCAGTGCTTCTTCAGTTTCGGCCAAGCTCAGAGACCGGGATCTCTTTTTCTGAGTCTTGTCTTCTTTTCCTGTTTCACATACAAAAAGTGCAATCTATGAGAATGTGAAGATAGAACATCCCACAAGGTCCAAAAGTGCAGATAGTCAAACAGGAAATAGCAAATGTATTGTAAAACTCTGGGAGGAAAAGGTTTGATTTTAATGTGGAAGGACTGAGTTGAAAACAAGCCAGTGGTGATGAAATAAAAACTTGTTAAACTAAGGAGTGACTTTTAAAACATTCATTGAACACCAGTGAGAGACCCTAAAAGGAGATGTACGCTAAACCCTGTGAGACAAGTCGTACTAATAATCTGACACCACAACAGACAGTGAGTGACTGCCAATCACCAAACACTAAAGGGAGGGGGGGGGCTTGTTTTACCTAATCAACTCTTTGACCCTTGAAATCGCCCTGTGAACACTCAGCCCACCTTGTGACGCGCTCAGTCGCTCCTGAACGCTTCGCTGTTTGAGCGGTGTGAAAGTGAAGGAGCGGTAAGCTCCAGAGCGCAGTACTTTGTTGCGGATGGCTTTCTTGCGCACAAGAGAGGGAGAGGAGGTGGGGAGGACTTCATCCTGGCGGCTGAGCTGGTCATCGGAAGACTTTTGATTCTTCTGTGGATCGGAGAACAGAAAACATGTTGCAGGAGGAGCTGCAAACTTAGAAAAGAAACAACACGCTTCACATGATAAGTAGTTGTGATGATAAGAGTGACAAGAAGACTACATTCAAGTCCAGACCTTAGTCCCGGGAAACAAGCCCCTGAAAGGCGCTCTTCTGAAAGACACCAGGGCGCTGACACTGAGAGGGAAGCCGTGGTTGAGCAGCGAGGGGTTGCGACGAGGCAGGGAGCCCACAGAGTCTTCCTGGGCCTCCTCTGGGTGCTTCTCCAAATAAGAAAGCTGGAAACAGCGGCAAAGCACCAGGTTCAGGAACTGTGCCTGCAAGAGAAAAAGTTGACAAATGAACAGTTGCACTTCAAATCCATTTGTAATGTTGGAGGGGGAACTTTGATTTGCTAAACCAAATTGTTGGCTAGCTTCAATGATAGCCTTCTATGACTTCTTAAACTGAACATAGGTCACACAAACAGGTGTTTACAAAAGCCTAACTAGACCTCATCATGAGAGTGATGTCACAGAGACATCTCGATAACTTTGCTCTTTTGTTGGATCCTTCAGGGTGGGACAACTAACCCAGTAGTTAAAATGAGGTGACGTCAAAAAAAGGGCTGTGGAAATCCAAGAATGAAATGAAAATGTTTTTTGCCTTTATGTCAATTCTACTTTGGTTTGACGTATTCTCAGAAGTGAATGGAAATTAAAATACTTACAAGCAGAAGAAGATATTAGGCTGCTGTATTACGTGAACAAGAATTGGACTGTTGCGTGGTGAATGTCATCATGCCTGTACACTCTCTCGCTCGGAATTTTCCTGAATATTTCCAGCTGAGTTCACACATCGGTTAAACCCGACTTCATGCCATCATGTTAACATGGCGCTGGCAGGTAAAAGTCAGGGTGAAAAATTCAGCTAACCAAAAAGTTTCAGGCATTTTTAGGAGTTTAGTGCACAAGTAAAAAACTAAATTATTCTCTTGTTGTTCAAAACTAAAAAAAAAAAAAAAAAAAAAAAAAAAGAGATTAAATTACAGTCCTATTTTCTGCTGTTGTTACAGAAGACAAATGAAGCTGGACATCTCTTACTGCTCTGGCGTGCCTTGCTTTAAAGACGTGGCAGTACAGCTGGGCGTCGGGGCTTCCTGGGTTGTGGGAGACGAAGGCGAACTGGGCATCTGACGGCCGGGCGGTGGAGAGAGAGACTCTGCGCAGAGCGTGAGCCATTAGGAGTGTCTGGAGACAGTGATGGTGAGAATTAGACAACAGGAAAGCTAAAGTGACTAAAACTGCATCTTACATCTTTATTTATGTGCATTCATTTTTCATTTGAAATGAACCCGACATCACTCACCGTTTCATCCTCATCATACATTTTCACACCTTTTATGGAGAATTTGATGGACACGGGCCTCCTCTTCTTGCATGCCTAATGTAAGAAAATCAATGCGTTAGGTATTTCAAAAGGTAACACAGGAATCAGTCGATGCTTTTTGGGACACAGATCATTCAGAGGAAACTTGAGAGACTCACTTTAAGAGCCTTCAGCTGTGTGTGCAGTTGTTCTATCTGGTCATCCAAACAGCGGTCATCCACAGGAAACGAGCCCAAATACTGTCACAGTAAAGAGAGAAATTAAGGGGAAGATTTAAACACATATGTGTACACCAAAAGTAAAAAAAACAAAACAAAAAAAAAAACACATTTCTAAAGTTACCTCTGCTGATCGTGTGATGACTGTACTGTCTTCTTTGACTGGTGTCTCCCCCATGCTACCTGTTTCTCTCTGTAAAAGCCAAACAGCAACACAGTGTAACACACAAAAGCAAAGACCACATTACACATTTCAAACAAAACTGTTAAAACATGCACATATGACACTAAGGCAAAGAATCACAGTATGAGTTAAATGATCACAGTATGAGTTAAATGATCACAGTATGAGTTAAATGATCACAGTATGAGTTAAATGGGAGAAAAAGATTTAAAGCAGGTTGAAGTCGAGATTAAGCCCAATGTTGGCCACAGAAGACCCACAGGAAGGCGACCTGATTTGCTGTATTTATTTGGTAGTATTTTCTCATTTGGGCACGTCATTGTGCTTTAAAAACGTAGCACACTTCTGTAAAATGCGTCAAAGTCTCTCGTAATTTACGTTTTAATTGCGGGCGAAGCGTCTCCTTCTTGACGTGTCAAGAAAAGAGGTCGGCATCTGAACAGTGTGAGTGAAGGCAAAATGTGAAACTACGTCGGAGAAAACTTTTACACCGTCCTCCGCCGACAACGCACCGGAGCGTCCACGACTGAGTGCAGGTTACAGGTTTACATCAAGGCTTTGAGGTTCACACAAACTTACTTTTCAGAGACGGGGATCCTCCGCGAAAATCCGTCACAAACCTCCTCCGCCCAGTCTGTTCGCCTCACACGCCGTCTTTGACACCAAAGTCCTCCACACCTTTACCTGCCGCCGCACCGTGTCCAGGTGTGCTGCTGCTGCTGCTGCGGGCCCGAGGCGGGGCTCGAGGGAGAGAGGACCCCTGTCTGGGTCACCCACAGAGAAGGAGGAGAAGTTTATGTACACTTACTCCTGTTGGGCTATGAAACTCAGCGGAAAGTGAAGCGTTGAATCAGCCCTCCCCTCTGTCTGCTGCTGTCTCTATCCTGTCTTTTTTTTTTTTTTTTCCCAGCTCCAGACATTCCTGGTCATTGCACAATTCACCGCGATGACGTCACAATCACCATGGTTAATGTACTGGATTTTTTGTTTTTGTTTGTTTGTTTGTTTTACAAAGTTGAACCTGAAACCATTATTCAAATATTCTTTAGTTGCCCTTTTGTGTCACATCGAGGAAAGTCTTGAGAACTATATTTCAGGTAAACAAACAAATGAGATTAACATTGAAGATAAAAGTGTTTTGATTTATTCTACATGCAAAGAGAAACCGTGGGCAATAGTCAACCTGTTTTATTGGCAATGAGACCGACATGTTATCTTTATTCAATGAGAAAGGTTTTGTTTTTTATCTCTCAAACAGGAAACAGATAAGAAATCAATGTCTTTGATTTCGATTTACTCAGAATTTTCTCCTAAATGAGTCCGTCACTTTCTGCTCTGAGTGACATGGATTTATGAATTTACTGATGTCTTATTATAAACTGGTATGTCTGTCTGTCTAAATATTCTTATTAAGTCAAAACAGAAGTTGGATCTTTCACTTGAAAAATAAAACATTTGATTCTATACGAACTTGGATTCTAAACTTCAGTAATACACATGTTGGAAATACTCCACCGGGAGAACAAAGGTCTGAGCTCTAAGCCTTTATAGTTTTGAGATCATAATCAACATTTACATTACATTTAACAGAGCAAAGTGTCTGTTCCATAAAAAATGTACACAAGAAGTATGAAGTTGTTAAAGAAATATTGATTCAACATTTGTGATCACATTTTGATTTTGTTGTTTGTTCAAGGTTGGGCTACTTTAAACTAATTGAAACATTCTTAAGTTTACTTTTTTTTTAATATTTACTTTTGTGCTTTTTAAGCCTTTATAGTAGAGACAGGACAGTGGATAGAGTCGAAAATCAGGGAGACAGAGGGACAGGATATGTGTGAAAGGAGCAACAGGTCAGATCTGAACCCAGGCCGGCTGCTTTGAGGACTACAGCCTCTGTACACGGGGCGTGCGCCCCTACAATTAGGGGAGTTTAGTCTGAATCCAGGGCCAGAATATCAGAAGAGAATCCTGAAGCTTTATTAGCGATCAATCGCTTGAAATGGAAAAGAAATCTAGATGTACAAACTTCTTTTTATGTTTTCTTCAATACTGAATCCCTTCACCTCTTTAAACCCCACTCATGTTGAAATGTTGGACTCTACCAGAGCCTGTTTTTTGTGAGGTAACCAAAGACAACGGTGTAATACCACAATCTGAAAAGTAACACATAAACTGTCGGGTAGAAGAGAAAAGATTTAAACTTACTTTTGTAGTTATAAATAATTGTGCACTAAATTAATATGGCACAGAAGAATTACAAATATAGCCATTTTATTAATGACTTGGAAAAAAAGCTTAACAACACAAGGAGTACATGCATGCAGGGTATGTATGAGCTAGAACCTTTTTCTTTTTAACAACACACGTCTTACAGTTTGGTACTGAATTACAGCTGTGAAGCAATAAAATCCATGTGTGTAAATGCCTGTTTACACAAACATTAAAAAAAAAAAAGACACTTGTCCCCAAATGTGACCATTTCATGAATGAATACTGTCAGGTGAGGATCTAACAGAGGATGAAGCTTTTGTTACCGTTAAGTCTTTTAGTTCAAAAGAGGAAACATTTTAGTGTTGTTTGTCAAGCGTTTGAATAAAAGTAGATAGAGCTCAAAGGCCGACATGTTTAAATGTCATAACACAGAACAACCTTAGGATTGGGTTTTCATAAAATCTTATTTAATTAGTAAAACATGTTTATCTTTTCAACCATTGTTTTTTTTTACTTCATTACAATTGTCCAAAACACTGGCACTTCTCTTCTTGTGGATAAGGAACGTGTGCTTTGAGCACCTGAAGTGGAGATGAGGAACAGATCATATTAAAACAGAGGTCACTACATGGCTCTAGTTACAGTTTGTCAGATTAAACTATGCTTTCCCTTACCTGGCAGCTGTTTTTACGGCAACACTAACTTGAGCTTTTCTACACACGGTGATTAAAAAGGAAATTCAGAACCCCTCAATGTACAGTAAACTCAACTGGGAGGATAACATTCTTATTCTACAATAGAAATTAAAAAAAAAAACTACTGCCCTGTTAAAAAGGGAGAAAATGATAAAAAGAGAGAGAGAGAGAGAGCACTGAAACAAAGTGGCCCAGTTCGTGGAAGGTGCTCCTGGGCTCATTATTTCCCTCTCTTGGTCTTGCGACCCGTCTGCTTCCTGCCTTTCGCTCCCCTTTTCACTGCGGGCTTTTTAGGGGAAGACTCTTCAGGCTCGCTCCGCCTTGATGCCCCTTTGGTCGCTGGCTTTTTAGCTGCAGGCTCCTCCTTGGGCGACTCGTCAGGCTTAGATCGCCTAGACCGGCTCTTCGTCGTCTCCTTTGGGACGTCATCCTCTTCAGGAGATGACTCTCTGTAAGAACGCCGCGTCGAGCCCCTTTTGGTCAGCTTTTTGACGGCTGGTGTTTTAGGCTTTTTTGCCGGAGAGCCTCTCTTGACAGGCGTGGCTTTAGATGGCGTTGTGGTTTCCTTCTTAGCTGCTGCTGACAGTCTGCCCCTTTTCTTGCCTGATGACACCACTTTCTTGGCGGGAGACTTCTTTGCGAGGGGGCGTCCTCTGCCTTTAGCTTTTGACTGACTAGCACTCGGAGATTTCTTGGCTGGTGGAGGACGGCGAGCTTTGGGGGGAGGCCTCTTCTGAGCTTTCCTGGGAATAATTTGAAAAGTAAAATTAGAAAAGTAGAAAGCACATAATGTACACACATCACTTGTAGGGGAAAGGCTGTTTGAGAACTGCATAGATGGAAAGAGGAAGCAGAGCACACTAAATATAAACCAAATATTTATTTAGAAAATATTTAACTGACTGGGTCTTTGTCACGTCAACATGTTAGAAACATTGAGCATTAATAATCCTTCAGTAGTGATTAGGCTCTCTATTCCCATCCCTTCGGGTTAATGTGCTTTTGATAAACTTTTTATTTTGATGCCTTTCACTGATAGATGTGGATAGAGTAGTAAATTGGGGTAAGGGAGTGGGCAGTGACATGCAGGAAAGGAGCCGCAGGTCGGACTTGAATCCACACTGCCCGCTTGAAGAAATGCAGCCTCATACTATTGTTGCTTTAGTCCTTTGCTAACTCTTTTGCATATGTGTAAATGTACTTGGCAATTAAAAACAAAAATGAATCTGATGTTCTGGTCGTGGGGTGAAACCTAACCGCTAGGCCATCGGCGCCTCGAGATTACATTGTTCACTCAAAAAATGACTACTGTAATTGTCTGAGGTCTGTAAAACCATGGGCAAGTTGGATAGTTAACCATAAGGTGGCTCCTCCAGGATGTCTAGTTGTTGATATTTAGCGAATCCACGCAAAATCAAACAATCAAAATTACTGTCAATCTCTGCAAACTTGACCCGTCACCCTATTACACCATCAGGTGTCGACATGTACCAATTGTACTTATTTTAAATTGAAAATAGGGATGGAACAATGCATCGGTTCCACATCGGTATTGGTCGACACTGGCCCTGTTAACAGACCAATAATGAGGCCTGAACCGATGTTTATTTGTTGTGCCAAATCTATTTATTGCTGGCATCTAGTACACCAAACAACTGAGTCAGAGTAGAGATGTTTTATTGGGCAGAGGAAGTCACCTAATGGACAGACTCTCACCTGTTTTCATTGTCAAACACGAGAGAAGATGGTGTCATTGTGGGACCTTTACACAACAAGATGTCATGAAACAAACATCGTTATCAAAATCAGCAATTGTCTAAATTGTTATTTCAAACATTGGTATCAGTATCGGCTCTGATGTTCCCAGTCGGTGCATCTCTAATTCAAAATATTGATCCCTTGTGTGTCGATGCTGTATTAATGTCAGGAAACGAGTTCTACGCCGTCTTAAATATCTTTGTGATGCTGCATGCTATAGGCTCACTTTTTTTATACCAAAGCTAAGGTGTGGTCTTTCTCTGTCATGAGCGTCATAATAATAAATAGGTGATGAAGTGGGGGGAAAAAAACAACCTTTAAAGCACTGAAACTTGCATTGCTACTTTTCAGAAAAGCTGCTGGAAAATCAGGTGTTTTGACTTTAAGTAGCAGTTACTTCAGATGATGGAGAACCTCTCTGCAGACTACATCGCTAACGTGGAGCTTTTTTTTAAACCCACCTCTTAGGGGCTGGAGCTTCGTCCTCAGACTCTTCTTCTGATTCTTCTTCTTCTGACTCTTCCTCGTCAGAGGAGTCAGCCATGCGCCTCCGCTTGGGCGCAGGTGTAGAGTTTTTCTTGGCCGGCTCATTGAACTTTTCCGGGTACAGGATGGTGGGGCTAAAGAGAAAAACAACAAACGACAAGAAGCCAACAGAGAAATGATCAGTGGTGTCTGCTTTGTCTTTTATAGATTGTTATCTTCAAAGCACACTACTAAATGAGTAGCTTAAAAAACACCACTGATGACAATATTAGACTTTTAAACAAAGTGATTCCTTCTGTCCAAGCGTCGGTGACCTACCTGGGGTAGAAAGGGAACGAGAGCCTGTAGGTCCCTGTGAAGCCGTGACCGGTGATCTGCTCCATCCAGCCGAGTACTTTACACTTCGACAGAGTGTTCCTCAGATTCCTTACTGCAGAAAAAATGATTCTTCTGTTACTGACAGTTTTTGATGCACAAGCCCCAACTTCTTGTAAAATGTCTTAGCGTTCATGTTACAAGATGAAAAGAAGGCCAGCTTTACAGAATAAGTCCTTGAAGTGACAAACCGATGACAATCAATGGCCCCATTTTTCCATTTTCCCCAAACCCTGAGAATCATTTTTGACAGTGATTGACCATTTTGAGTTATCAGAGATATAATCTCCATGTTCACATTGAATCAGGCCCTACACATATGGAAGTGATGAGCAGCAGAAAGAGCGGGAGTCTTACCTAACTGATACTCCTTTCTGTCTTTAT